TGACTTTAGAACCTAAAAATTTAAATGTCACTCATTAATCTTGTCAATAATTGCAATGCAAGTAAGTCCCATCTGTAAATATCCATTTGTCCTACTTTATTTAATCAAAATGTGATTTTTACTAAAGTTCACATGTGAATATTTTAAGGCTACATGTTTTACAGTTTGGGGTATTACAACTGTTTCCACATGAAGCTTCTGTCTGTTGAAATACAGTCAGAGCATTAGCAGCCATACCCAGTTTAATGTTTTATAACAGGGTAGAGCACACACTAATGAAATATAGTTAACATTGCTCAGTTGTAACTCTAAAAGTGCAAAATGTATCCACTCAGCAAATCCACATGCTAGAAAGGTCATGCTCAATATCCTATAAACTAGGCTTCAGCAATATGTGAACTGAGAACTACCAGAGGTACAAGCTAAGTTTCGAAGAGGCAGAGGCACTAGAGATTAAATTACCAACATTTGCTGGATTATACAGAAAGCAAGGGAGTTCTAGAAAAACATCAATTTCTGCTTCATTGACTTATACTAAAGCCTTTGATTGTGTAGATCACAGCAGACTATGGCACATTCTTAAAGAGATGGGAGTACCAGACCACCATACCTGTCTCTTGAGACACCTGTATGCAGATCAAGAAACAACAATTAGAACCGGACATGAACAACCAATTGGTTCAAAACAGGGAAAGAGATGGGACAAGGCTGTATATTGTCATCCCGCTAATTTAACTTACATGCATAGTACATCATGCGAAATGCTGGGCTGGATGAATCACCACTTTCGCATAACTAGGCTATAATGTATGGCAGATTTTCTTGGGATTATATTGTTGAAATATGCGATGCAAGTAATTTTGGTATAAACCAGTTTATTAGAAATGAGACAACTTGAATAAGCGCCGCAACGTCAGAGCAGTTCCTGCATTGCTGGAAATAAAGCTATACATAACAAAGCTTATTTCCAAATGTTTTCAATTACGCATTTGAAAACGTTTAAATGCGTTTTAACACCACTATCTCCCTTCCCGAGCCACAATGAGTTTCACCACCGATTCATGTTACAATTCGTTTTGCTCTCTCCCTTCCTCTTTGAAGTGGTTTCCTGTGGTGCAACTAACTATATCTCCTTCCGCGTTTAGGCCACACACGTTCGTTAATTTTCAGTTTGTCCCTTTATGCAAAGTGGATCATCCCACTACACCCTGTAAAGCAAAGAAAAGCCAATCAATCCCGGATAGGATTGTATCTTTCTAAGGCGACGTTTTCATTTGTTGCAGAAGATGGACTACTTTTCTCAGCTCCCTCCTGCAGCCTGCTATTTCCCCGTCAGTCTTCCCCGCCTCTCCTTGGTCAGCTGATGTCACAGTCGTGTGCGGTTTCTCAGCAATAATGGCAGCAACGGGGCTGGAAGAGATGAATCCGAGACGCAACGGCTGAGGGTGGCGCGCGCAGGAAAGCGCGCGCGCGCGCGCCGGATCGCTGTCCCTCCTTAGATATACATAGACATAAGAACGGAGGGGAGCGCTAGCAGGTTTATGTCGAGCCAGGCCTGGGCCGCCGCGCCAGACAGAGCGCTGAATCTTAATCTCGATCTGGCGACAGCGGCCGCTACGGAAATGGCCGAATGGTCGAAGGCCTCCAATTCTGCCTTGGCCGCTGGCGGTCTCTCTGTGTCGCTGATTGAATCAGGTAAAACAACTAGTGAGCGCCGTCGCGAAAGGGGACGGGGAAACAAATCTGCGAGGCGGACGAAGCCAACGTCTCAGTTCCCTGCACCTCCGACGCCGCCATCTTATACTCGTGCTCCCGATTATGAATTACAGTCACCTAAGGGGATCTCCCACCCCCTCCCCTCTCTCACCCTCCTCCAACTGAGCTCAGCTCTGAATTCATCTCTCTCTCTTTCTCTCTCTCTCCCGCAGAACTGTATTTCCTCATAGCTCGCTTCTTGGACGCTGGGCCTTGTAGAAAAGCAGCCGAGGTGAGTTCTAAATCGGCGCCCTACTTCTCGGCTACCCCCAATAAAAAATAAAGAGTGGCCCCCTCGCTTTGGCCAGCAGCCGCGTTTTTTGATTTTAAAGATGTGGTTCTTCCTTTCCCTACAGGTACTGGTGCGAGAACTGGAACAATACCAGGTCTGCTTGACTTTTTGAAATTCTATTTTTCTTTTGTGACCCTCAAATTTTGCTCATAGTTCTTGATTTTATTTATAGACATGTCCTTTTAAAGATATTAGTGCAGGCATCCATCGTAACTTTAACGTCTTTTTCATGTCCCCCTTTTTCCCTTTGAACTTTAGTTGCTTCCTAAACGATTGGATTGGGAAGGAAAAGAGCATTACAGACGTTATGAAGACCTGGTGAGATATAGTTAGTTTAGAAATGAACTATAAAAGGGCATTTATTAAGAAAACCATTACTCTATTAATCATCCTACTTTGATGTGTTATTTTGCTAGACAACAAAAACCATAAATGGGACTGCAAACTGAAAATGTCATCACAAAGGAGATGGAGTTTGTGAGACACACAGAGGATGAGTTGTGAAAAAATATCCTTGATGCTCTTGCCTTTCTGTCTTTCAAAATGAGAAAATATGAAAAGAGACCTTTTTCCTGATTTGTTCAGAAATTTCTTAAATAATTTTAGTTTAACAGGGATTACTATTGCAAAAACAAAGTTCTTGTTTTTCTTTGAAGACATTTTGCTTCTCATCCAAGAAGCTTCTTCAGCTCTGACTGGATGGTGGGGAATGAATCCAGTCATTGCTAAAGAAGCTTCTTGGATGAGAAGTGAAATGTCTTCAAAGAAAAACAAAGTCCAGTTGCCTCCTGAAAAAGCACCTTTGGGACAACCATGATCTGGATGACTGAGAATCTCCATAGACCAGGGGTAGGCAACCTTGGCTCTTTTATGACTCATAAACTTCAACTCCCAGAATTAATTCTGGGAGTTGAAGTCCACGAGTCATAAAAGAGCCAAGGTTGCCTATCCCTGCATAAACATTTAGGGATTGTTATTATTTATGGTTAATTTAAATTTCTTCACTTTTGAAGATGTATTTATTTTCACTCATAACCTGGATCATTTTGTATTTTGTTTGTACTGAAGAAGTTGATCTTTGTTTCTTTGTTTTAAGAAAGTGCTGCTTAGTAGTCTTGCTGAATATTTGTGCACTGATTTTAGAGCTTTCAGGGAGAAGGGGATTCTTAGTGAGTTGTTTGGAGCCAAGATCCTTATCATTTTCTATCTCTCCATTTCTTTCCTCCAAATGATACACAGTTTAAATATTAAATTCTCCCACACAGTATATTCTCTTATGAAATCCATGTTTTTAAAGGAAATGCCACTGGTTGTATTGAGCATTCATGTAATATATTGAGGCTAATACAGTTATTGTATGCTGTGGTTTAGCAGTGGCTTCATTTTTTTCTTGAAGTTATGAGCCTTTTTTAAAATGATGAAACTTTAAAAATATTAGAATTTAAAGATTTTTTTGTCTTTATAGGATTTCCAATGAAAAATACAGTACATAAAAACTGAACTGCCAGGTTTTAGTAATTTATAATTAGAAATATCAGAAATAAATAATTGCGCTACATTAATGTAATAGCTTCTTAATTCTGAATGTTCTTCTTGTATCTCCCTCTGACATTATTATAGTAGATAAATGTTTCTAGAATAATCAATTCAGTAGTTGGTTTGTTTGATCACAAAAGATTCTCTTGAGATTAGGTATTTTACACTTAAATTATTTCAAAACCAGATCAGTATACTTAACTTCATGTTGATATGAAAAGCAAAATAAGGTGCACACTTTAAGGTGTTTCATTGCAGCAGTGATACTCAAATGGTAGTGCCAGATCAGGAAAACATTCATATGAAGTAAAAATTACGAAATTGAAAAGTTTTTAAAAATAAAATAGTTTTGGTCAGAAAGGTATTAAAAGAAGTGATGACAGAGATTTAATAGATAGGGTGCCACATCAAAAAAAGTTTTCTGCCCTTGAAGAGGTATCCTCTGGGATGTTTCAGAGTTCAGATTTAGGGCAAATTATAGAGATTGGTCTTGATTTTATGTAGATATGATTGTGAAAAACAGCCATTGTTGGCTTTTGATATTATGTTACTATTATGTATTCTGAGTATTTCTGATAGAAGGCAACTAACTGTGTAATTAATTTGAAGTTATTTTGTTATAGGCAATCTAATTTAAAGTATCTTTTGGGGAGAGGGTGAAATAATGTAAATAGTGAAATGGTGTTGCTTTTTTAAAAGGCTAAAATATGTGGTGTCAAGTATTTCCAATAAGGGATAAATAATTGTTTCTAAAATATTTAGATTATATAAGCAATATCCTAATTGAGTTATATTAACTTTAATTTTTAATCTTGTTTTCATGTTAGGTATTATCTAACAAACATGTCGCTCCAGATCATTTGTTACAAATTTGCAAGCGAATCGGTCCTATACTGGATAAGGAGATTCCACCCAGCATTCCAAGAGTGAATTCATTGTTGGGTGCTGGGAAACAGTCCCTGCTGCGAACAGCAAAAGGTATATTAAGATTTTTGTATAATGCATTCTTCATTAAATTCTAATCAAATATCTCTGAGCTTGGTGTATGCAAAAGTACACATCTTAGTTTTCAAAATTAGGATGAATGTCCTTACCAATTTAATCAAAACTATTAGTGTTATACAGCTTGAAATGTTACACTTCTGAAGATACAGTACATTTCTTTATAACATTTCATAGTGTTGAAGCATAGAAAAAGTGACAGACCATATAGCCACAGAGTTCTCTAAGTTGTTGCAATAGTTACTTGTTATAATGCTTTTTGAAAAGTAATTTGTGCTTATTTTTAATATATGCTTATATACTTATTTTTTAATATATAGTCTTAGTTTAACAAACTGTAAAGACATTCCACATAGAGCAGGGGTGTCAAACTCGCAACATCATGTGACGTGTCCTGACGTATCGTGACTTTTTTTCCATTGCCGGCAATGGGGTGGGCGGGGTTTTGCTATGATGCATCCAGCCTGCGGGCCGGCAGTTTGACACCATGACATAGAGTTTTTCAGTTTCTTAACTGCTTCTCTCCTGCCATTGGTGATTCACACAAGTGTTCCTTATCCTAACTTGAGTAACCTCTCTCCTTTAGAGGTTATCTTCTTGGCTTGTTTTTAGCTTAGAGAGAAGACTGAGCAGAGGGTACAATTAACTTTTTTCCCAGAGCTTCTTAGAATTCTAGCACCAGTCATTACTGATATCTGATTATCTTTCCAAATGCTGGTATTTTTCACCAGCCTTTCTACTTTTCATCTGTCTTTTCATCTTTGTTACTTCTTAGTCCTTGTCCATAGTATGTCCAGTCTACACAGCCCAAGGACAACAGCAGAAATATCCAGCGTACACCAATGACCTCCTTCATTGACTAACACTTGCGCTTTTATGTATTTCCATCAAAAAGCAGATCCATCTTTTCATGTCTTAATTAGGGAGGAAGTCTGCAGGTGTCTACGTGATAACTACCCTAGTGCTGAAAAGAATGAAAAAACAACCTTAAATTTTGAGGCCATTTTGCTACATCTCATTCTGCCATACTAGGCCTTTTTGATAAAACCTTATATTTTTAATTACACATTCATCTTGATTTATGTATCATGAAAAAAATCAGTTGTAGTAGTTGAATCACTTGAGTTCAGTATAAAAAATGTATCAAATATATTATTTGCTTTCTTGTAAATTATTACCCTTTAAGGCACAGTGAAGTGTGACTTTTAACCATGGTTAGGTTGAAAACAGCAGCACATTTGTGCAGATATTCAGCTGCCTGGCTTGGTTGGATCTCAGTGAACATTAACATAATCACTGGAATGTCTCCTTATCCAAAATTAAAAGCCATTCATGAGAAGAGCCTGTCATGGTTCCGACAGAATGAGAAGAAAAAAAATGGCTGCAGCCATGCTCATTGTAGAGTTGACAGAGCCAGCAGAAAGAGCATACAAAAGTAATATGTATATATAAAACATGTAAGAGAATCGAACATATTAGTATAGTGACTATTTCCATGTAATATTCTCAGTCTTTCCCTCTTGAGTCCTTCCCTGGTTCGGCCAATCTCTTCTACTTGACATCCCTCCTCAAAGTAGCGCTCTCCTTCTTCCATGTTGTCTTCATTGAGTTCTGAGGAACTTGGGAGGGTGGAAGCAAAGCCAGTTGAAAGGAATCCTTCATCGCCGTGTCTGAATATCCACTAGAGCAGGTGCTGCTATCTGGACAATATCTAGATGATTAGCCTGTTCTTCCCTCATCTCCCTTGGGAAGTAAATACCAGAAATGGACGGTTGGGCCTCATCAACCATTAGTCTTCCTGTCCACTCTGTTTGATTAACCTTTTCATTTACAGATTCCGTGGCTGGTTCTAGTGCAGGCCTGGAAGGCTGTGGCTTTTCTGGGAAAATGCTAATGGAATTGCCACACCAAGTTCGGTGTTCACATCTGGCATTTTCTAGAAACATTCAGATTCTAGGTGGCCTTTCCAGTGGATCAAATGATATCTATGTCCCTTTGTCTAGAGTCCAAAATTTCTTTGACTTCCTTACCATGCACTATAACTGGCCGAGCCAATGGGTGCTGGGAGCATATAAGGCTAGGAGGGCCTTCTTTGACTAGCAACGATGAAAAACTGGGTGGACTTGCACAGATGGTAATAATTGTAAATGAAAGGCTACAGGATTAATCTGCTGGAGGACCTTAAAGGGCCTTGTGAATTTTGTATCAAGTTTCTTAGAAGGCCTAGCAGAAAACAGGAATTTGATAGAGAGTCAGACTTTGTTCTCTTCAGCAATCAAGTCCTTCCTGCTGATAGGCATCTGCAACCTTGTAAGACTGTTTAGATAGTTCAATTTGCTGTTTCAATAGGGTCTGGGCAGCCAGTTGTTCTTGAAAAAATCTGGAACAGAGCCTTCCTCCCACAATGCACTCAGGTCTCTGCCATACAAAGTTTGAAAGGGAGTCATAGCAATCGGTGTGTGCAGAGCACTATTCTATGAAAATTCTGTGAGGGGAATACAATACATTTCTTTGGTATATCTGTTGAAGCAGGGGCCGATGTGCAAAGAGTTGTTTTAATTCTTTAAATGCCGCTTGCTGTGTTCTCATCCAAGCAAATTACACTCCCCCCCTTTTTTAACAGCATAAGGTTTTAACCTTATGAGCAAAGCTAAGAATAAACTTTCTGTAAAAGTTTGCAAGGCCGAAAAAAACTCTTATGTTGTTTGTATTATGGGGAGCCTGACATGAGAGCACTGCATGCACTTTCTGGGGATCCATTTGGATTCCATCTGTGGAAATGTAGTAACTGAAGAAATCTAACAGCTGCAAGTCAAGCACACACTTCTCTAATTTAGCAAAGAAGTGCTATTCCCTCAGTTTACTTAAGACTTCACACACATGATGGTCATACATATTTTCATCTTCTGAATAGATTAGGACAGGAGTCCCCAACCTCTGGGCCGTGGCCCACTAACAAGCTGTGAGCTGTTTGCAACTGGGCCATGGAAATGGACGAGCGCATGCACACATCCCCATGTGCACAAGCAGTGGACGAGGGTGTACACGCACGCTCCATTTGTGCAAATGGAACTGCATGTTGCCAGTTGCTCAGGTGGAATAATCCCTTCTCTCCCCCCCCCCCCACCAATCTGCAAAGCCGGAAAGGTTGGGGAACTCTTGATTAGGATATCAGCCATGTAAATTGCTACAAAAATGTCAGTTTTGTCAGAAAAAAATTGGTTCATGAATCTAGAAAGCACAGCTCTACAATTTACTAACTCAAATACCACATATTCAAATTTGCCATACCTGTTATTGAACACTGTCAAAAATTCATGCCCCTTCTTGACTCTGATAAGGTTATATGTATTTCGGAGGTCCAACTGGGTAAATATGCACACAATTTGCAATGATCTCTTACTGTAATCGAATTAAGAGCTTTGTAGTCATGCATGGTACTGGTTGGAACCTCATTGGTTGGGCTTGGAGAACTTAGGTCTTATTTCTTTGGGACAAAGAGGGTAGGCAATTTTGAAGATGTAATAAAACCTTTTTTGCAGATTAGAACCCAAATACTGTTTCAAAATTGATAATTCTTTTTCTGACATGGGATGTTCTTAGCAAAGATTTTAGTCCCTGGGACCAAATCAGTTGCACAATCGCAGTCTTTATGTGGGGAAAGGACTGATGGCTTTTTCCCCATCTACAAAGTCTGTGTACTTAGTTGGTAACTTTGCCTCTTCGTCCTTGGAATTTTCTTTCTTCTGTCTCAAAGGGGAAGTTGCTTGTACATGAAGGAATTGGCAAGGTGGAGTGGGAAGAGACAGAATTCCTCTAATCTATTGCGGGGTTGTCAAACCTCAGCCACACTGATCCTAATATGATTGGGATGTGAAGATAGTGCATGACATAAAGGGGCAATTCTTTGCTATTGTTAGTTGCGGGGCCACTGTAGTCTGTGAGATTGGACCTGCTCTTCAGGATTCCCATCTGTTGTTTCAACTTGCACAGGAGCAGCAAGACTTAACTATAAGGATTTGCAAAGCTTCAGTTGTTGATAATTTCTTCTCACCCATGGGGTAAAAGTAATAAAATCAAAGTAACAAATTTTCAACAACATAGCTTGATTCAAATGGAGTCAAGCCCTATTTAGCCTCTCACATGTTGTCATTTCCCCAGGCCTGAACTCTGCACTCAGGGCAGTGTTCTCACACACCCTGGCTGGATGACCTTTCTTCTCTTTGAGGGTCTTTGGTTGGGCAGGTTCTTACTGTATATCCAGGTTCTCTGAAATAAAAGCAGAGTGCTAGGTCTCCACACCTCTGTCTTTCTTCAGCTGCTGTTCTCTTTGCTACCCTTATTTGCATGGCTTCCTCTTCCCCCAACTCTGTCTCTGTCAGCATGAGTGGAGAGAAGACTGAATAGTGAGTTTTTGATCTCAGTTCTTTCTGAATTTCTTTCAGGCATGCGTTGATGATCACACAAAGCTGATGAAGCTGGTCTAAATTCTGGGGAACTCCTTGTCTTAACAGCTTGGTGGTGATTTTAGTGCTTGATTTTAGTGCTTAGCTCTTGTCTATACCGAGCAGTTAGGGTTACTTCGTTCTATTCCAGATCTGTGGATTTAATTTGAATCCAGCTACATACAGCCTGACCCATCTGTTACTCTGTTTAAACTGATGGATCTGGAGGGTAGCTGTCACTATTATCAGATCTCGTAAATGTCCTCTGAAGTTGTCCATGAAGTTTTGATAATTATCCATAATTGGGTCATTGTTTTTGATGATTGGGAGCTGCTGACACTCTTGAACAGATTCAAGATTAAGGATACCCTTGAGAGTCAGTTGAAGGTTCCGCCACTCAGGTTTTTGCACCTGTTGCACTAGCTGAAGTACTGTTGCTCTCAAATTGTATACTTTATTCTCTGTTCTATTCTGTCTCCATAGCACAGCATCCATTATTCCTTGGTGTGCTGCTACTCCCACTTGGACCTCAGTTGCTATCCCATAATTGTTCTCTGGTGGAAAAGGTGATGTATCTGAGAGGTCAGATGCAAACAACCAGATCCACAGATGAAGAGTTCAATTAGCTGTTTTATTGCTCAAGTCTAATACACAGGAATCTTCTCAGATTGACAATTTGCACCAAGGTGCAAAGAATAGATAGGGCTCAACAGCCTTCAAAACTTTGCCCTCTTGTGCCCACATAGGGATTCCAAACTAATTTCCCAAGTTAATTTATAGTTAAACAAAACTTTGATGGTTATTTTATGAGTGTTTCTTTCCATTGTTGCTGCTATTCCTATTACAAACATTCTATCTTTCCTCAGCCTGTTTTAAGCAGAAAGGTACTATAGCTGTCAGTCCCAAAATTCTCTTTCAGTTCATTTTCACATGCATGTCTGTCTCCTTAGATGCAGTTAAGGACTGACAGTTGTTTTCATACAATGGAAAATGCTTATGTGTAACAAGAGTAAATATGGTTTAAAAATTGAGATAGCGCAGTGGTGGTGAACCTATGGCACGGGTGCCAGGGGCGGCACTCGGAGCCCTCTCTGTGGGCACAAGTGCCGTTGCCCCAGCCTTGCCTCCCCCCGTGACACCCTCCTCACCAGCAGCCCTCCTGGAGAAGGGTCACCCCCGAGCGCGGCCCACACGGAACAGTGCAGTCAAGGATATGGCAGCCAGGCAGTGTAGACAAGTCTATGCCCTCATGCCCCATCGCACAGTTGATGCTGCGGGGCGTGGGCAGAGGGCGTGGCTGCCATGGTGCTGCGGGGCGATCGGTGGGCCCTGGAGGCAGTGAGTGGCCCTGCGGGCAGGTGGGGTGGGGGCGGGGCAGGGGGTGGAGCCAGTTTTTGGGCACTCGGTCTCTAAAAGGTTCGCCATCACTGAGATAGAGCATTAAAAGACATAAGATAACTCCAGTGGATATTGCTAGTAACCAGGATTGAGTTAAATCTTGGAATTGACTTAAATCTTGTAAATATTTGCAGTCTTAGTGTAATGACAGATTTATTAGGCATAATTATAATGATTACCATAAAATATTTTTCCCATGAGCCTAGCAGTCTTTTAGTCATTTATAGAGGTTGTTAATTCAAATGTGAAAATACTGCGTTAAGTAGGCTATTTTTAAAGAAGATTGAATTTGAAATACTTTTTACATTTAGCCTATAGGTTACACACGTTTTTAAATTCATAAAATCCTCATATGATATATAGAATATTTTATATGTAAAAAGGTATATTATTGCAAAGCTCTGAAGACATTTTTGAAATGAGCTTTGGTGTCTCTTTGGTGACTGCACTTGAACAGTTTTTTTAACAGGTTTTGTACAACTAAAATACACTTTTGCAGATTGCAAATATACAAATTGGAAAGGCTCAGGTATTGCTGCCCTTCACAGAGGAAGACCACCTGAAATACCTATTAACTGTGGCAGAAAACCAAGTCTAAGTAAGTGATTTTTTAAATTAATATCCCATGCTCACAGTTTTTTTTTTACTTCTAAAAATGCATGCTGTTTATCTTACTGAAATGTTTAATTAAGTAATGTAATTACAATGATTAGATTTCAAAATATTAGAAAGGTACACTTGATATGAATAATCTTAAGTTAAAAATTACTGGAAAAATTTACAGAAAGCTGCATGTTTTGTACTTTCACATTATCTGTTAACTTCTCTGTTACTCCTTGCTCCGAAACCTGAAACCAGAACCAGCAAAATTTTCTACTTAATTAATTCCCCCACCTTTCATCTTAGAGTTATAACAACCTAGGAGAGAATGTAGCTGCCAAACTCAAGAATTCCCCTTGTCCAATTGAAGAGCTTATAATTGCTTTGACTTGATTTCTCGCTAAGCAGCTTTTTGAGATAAGGCTATTGCTCAATTGTTGTATACATGCTTTGTATGCAGGAGATCTGTTCATACAATTCAAATAAAAATGAGACATAATGTCATTCAGAGTAACCAGTGTCAAGCTAGATAGATGAAGATATAACCCGTTACAAGAGAACTTTGTTTTTTCCATAATAGTTATTGCAGCCTATATAACCATTGATCAGATATCTTAAATATAACATAATCTGAGCATTACCTTTTCCCTTTTTAAAAAACCTTACATAATTTTTTCCTGTTTTAGTGGAATTAAATTATGCAAAACAGTTGACTGGATGTACACGATACAGTTGTTCATTCCCAGAAAATATGTACCAACATATAAAGATGCATAGACGGATTCTTGGTCATCTTTCTGCAGTATATTGTGTAGCATTTGATAGGACTGGACATAGGATATTCACTGTGAGTTTATTTATTTATTTATTTGATAAACGTATATGATTGCCTGATAGATATAGAGTTCTTGATGACTAACAAATACAATAAAATAATTATTAAAAGCAATCAAAAACATACACATGTGCACAGAGCAAAATGAGCTCATCCAATATCTGGATCCTATACTTGATGAAAAAGCTGGGTCTTTAATGCCTTTTGAAAGGCCAGCAAAATCAATATCATCCAACTCTTGGGGGTTCTGATGTTCTCCTGGATCCCATTGGATAGCATTGTTTCATAGAGGGAGCCTTATTGGACCTCATAGGATGAGCAAAGATCATTGGAAACAGGTGGAGATAAGTTTGTTGTTAAAGTTGTATGTTTGGAATTTAATAGAAAATGGAGAAAAGTGAACTCTAGCAATTATATTAGGTAATTGCTGAAATTGAAATTCTGGTCTAGTTGGTATTTGGTATTTAATTTAATACAGACTAAGGTGAAATATACATTTTCTGGTAAAGTGACTTAAAAATATGTTAAAGACTAGAAGATTTCAGTGAAACAGGAAGTATGCCAGATATCAGAATTTGTATTGGTGGATATTGAGACAGGAAGAAAGCATCCATAACCATCTTGACTGAAATCCAGATCTGTCAAATCATTTTAGAGTAGAGTCACTCATTTTTATTAATATCGTGAAATCTTGATTTAAATGTGTTTCTGTTTAACCAAGTTTGGGTACAATGGACCAGATTTGAATTTAGGCTTCAGCTCTGAAATTTCCATTATTTTTTGAAGTCTGTCCAGACAATTGATGCAATTTACATCAGTGAATGTAATTTGTTTAATAATGTAATGGATGCATTTATGTCCATGTGCATATTTCTGTAATTTTGTTAATACAAATTACAAAAATATCAATTTTGTAATTTTATTAATTACATCAATTGTGCAATTTCAGATTTAACAAACATTCAGCTTTATTGGACAGTTCCGCTTTTCTTGAAATGATCCATTAAAGGGAGGTTTTACTGCATATGCAATACCTGGTATAAGAAGCAAATAATACTGTATGATAATTCTTTATGTCCATTCTCAAACCTAAGCTGCTTGAGAGGCATAGGATTCAAAATTTAATTGTTAATTTCACCAAGTCCTATTTAAAAACATATTTTCTATGTTTATTTTATAGCTCATTCTGAAACTGATAATTAATTTGGATTGTATGGCTGTAAAACAGAGGTAGCTGTGAATAGAACATTTTATTGTTGCAAGCTTCTCTTCTGTTAAGAAATGCTTTGCTTTTACATTCTCTAAGAAATTAAGATAAGGCAGAGCTAAGGAAACAATAGCACTGAGAATAATTGTAAAAATGTTAAAAATATATTATTAGAAAATATATTAGTCTGCTAAATTAAATATCACAATGGCAATATATTGATCCATTAGTTACCCTTTGTGTTTATTTATTTATTATATCAGCCTATTAAACTTAAATTGTAATTAGGATAGCCAACTACAGACTGTTAAGTTTACATTTTGAAGTATATCATGAAACATCTATACTGTCATTTAAATAAAGCTAAATTATAAACTGTACAAACTACAGTGATGTATTTACAAACATCCTGAACTTGAAAGACCACATTATGGCTTAACACAATGTGTGGCCAAATCAGTAGATGTTCATTTTATCTGTTACTCAAATGTATTTTCTTATTTCAAGACAGTCTTATGTGTAGAATATTACAAATCATTATATTAAACTGCATTTGGGAATAACTTTATATATATTCCTGTGACACATGTAAATTGAAGTGATGATTAGATGCTAATTAACTTTTGTTTTTATTCAGGGATCAGATGACTGCTTGGTAAAAATTTGGTCCACACATAATGGTCGGTTATTAGCTACCCTAAGAGGCCATTCAGCAGAGATCTCTGATATGGCTGTGAACTTTGAGAACACAATGATTGCAGCTGGTAGTTGTGATAAAATTATCAGAATTTGGTGTCTTAGAACATGTGCCCCAATTGCCGTTTTGCAAGGACACACGGGATCAATTACATCTTTGCAAGTAAATTCTTCATTTAGTTATATATTCTTGTTAACACATATTGAAAAACTATTTTTTAAAATTGCTTTTTATAGTACATTTCGGATCTTTACTTTGTGTGTTTCTAAATTTGTAATTATCAGAAAGTTGCAGTTGTATAATTAATGATGTCTGTGAAGATGATGTGTTTTCCTTGTTGCATGTTTAATTTGACTGAAATCATGGTATTTGCAAATGTTTAAAATTATATTTATAGACCACCAAATCCATTAAAATAAGACAGAAAATTTGGTCTAGTGGTTAAGGTACCAAGTTAGAAACCAGGAGATCGTGAGTTCTGGTGTCATCATGTCCAGTCACTCACTCTCAGCCCAGTTCATCTCACAAGATGGTGGTTGTGGAGAAAATAGAAGGAGAAATAGGTATGTTTGCTGCCTTGCGTTATTTATAAAAAAATAATAAAGGCAGGATATAAAAAAATAAATACCAGTTTGGAACATCCGAATAGAACTATTGGCTGATTTTGTGCTGAACATTACTTTTTTAGAATAAAGATCTGCTTATTGAAAATACTGGTGATGAAGTTTCTATCCTCTTACTGCACCTCTGTTGTGATACCTCAGCTATGCTCTAGAATACGGGTGTCAAGCTTGCCGTGTCACATGACGTGTCGCAACGTATCGCAACTTTTTTTGCATTGCCGGAGCTGGAGTGGTGCAGCCTCTGCATGATGCAACTGGCCCGCAGGCCAGCAGTTTGACACCCTTGCTCTAGAATATTCAATTCTCTTGAATAGATTTTGAGAGTCTTCATAGTATAAGAAGGAAACCATTTCCTAGTCCTCAGATAGGCTGATAGAAACCATCGTATCATTAGAAAGTAAGCATTGATTTCACTGTTAAATAAGAACATTTTACATAGTTTTGGACAAGTGAAGCAGCTACAGTATTACAGAGTGTCATAAGATAGAACTCCAAATTTAAATGTGTAGTATCACATGCAACTAAGACCAGCTCCATTATGACAGTGGCAGAATATGTGAGCCTACTGAGCATATGTGTGATTGTAGATCTTATTTGCTGTAGTGTGTTAATAAATTATATCACTATTTTTTAGTTTTGAATGTTTTTAGAGATGGAGTATATAAATTATATTTAGCTAAGGAATAGAACATGGAAATTTGTACACTGACAGAAATGCTGGAATTTCTAACATTAATTCAAAACATTTTGTCTGTCTATCTATCTATAACATGCTATGACTGGTTATTTTACAGTTCAGCCCATTAGTCAAAGGTTCAATGAGATATATGGCATCCACAGGTGTAGATGGAACAGTGTGCTTTTGGCAGTGGGATATCACATCCATGAAATTTAAGTATGTATCTATGTTGATTTTTGTGATAAATAGCATGTTTGGTTTGTCAGATTTACTTTTACTTTTCAATAAGAAAATGAATACTCTGTAATTTTTATTACAGAATATAAAAAAGAACCTTATTGCTACAAAAGGAAGTAAAGAAAAGCTATTTTTTTGTAATATAGAGATTTCTGAATACTTTGGAAATAGGAATTTATTTTTATGAACTGTTAATATAAAATCTCCATACAATTTATAGTGCTACATACATGCAAGTAATTCTTGTTGTCTTTGAAGTAACAGGCCATTGAAATTCATAGAAAAACCTAGACCTGGAGTTCAGATGCTTTGTTCTTCTTTTAGCGTTGGTAAGTATATGAACTACTAAAGCTGAATGTGTTTGTACTAGTCACTTTTATACTTATCCAATCTCAGAAAATACTATTAAAGGAATCAATTATTTTCTGTGCCCAAATTAGGTACTATTTTTCTTAGTATTGTAATAATTGTTTGAACTCTGTACACTTTGTGTAGATATATGCAAATTGGATAATGAATAGTCCAGGTGTTCTTAGAATAACTGACAGTTTTTCACTAAAGACTTGAAAAAATATTTCCAAATCTGTAGAAATGGATTAGATACAGTTCAAGTTAGCTTAAAAGGACCTATTACAATCAGGATAGATTGGTTAATGAACCCATCAACTTCCTTAGAAATAATCCAATTTATTCTGGTTCCAGTCCATAATTTGCATTTGTTTCCTTTCATTGTTTTAAGCAATTTCTTATTTTTTTTTAGGTGGAATGTTTTTGGTAACTGGAAGTACTGACCATGTTATCAGAATATATTATTTTGGTTCTGAAACTCCTGAAAAAATTGCAGAACTAGAGAGCCATGCTGTAAGTAATGTAATATTAAAGTTTGCCATAAATTCACATTTTTATATAAAAGAAAGATTTATGACTGTTTATAGTCTAAATCAGGAGTCTCCAACCCTTGGTCGGTGGACTGATCCTGGTCTGTAGCATGCCAGAAAATGGGCCGAGCAAACAAGTGAAGCCCCATCCACAGGATGCAGGCAGCACGAAACCATGCTTCCTCAGGTCCATGGAAAAACCATTCTCCATGGAACTGGCCCTGATGCCCAAAATGTTGGTGGTCTCTGGTCTAAATGAGGGAAACATTTTATCTCACAATCCAGGTTGAAGTAATTGGTACAGTGAAGGAAAAAAAATATTTGATCCCCTGTTGATTTTGTATGTTTGCCCATTGACAAAGAAATGATCAGTCTATAATTTTAATGGTAGGTTTATTTTAACAGTGAGAGACAGAATAACAACAACAAAATCCAGAAAAACGCCTTTCAAAAAAGTTATAAATTTATTTGCATTTAAATGAAATAAATGTTTGATCCCCTATCAATCAGCAAGATTTCTAGCTCCCAGGTGTCTTTTATACAGGTAACAAGCTGAGATTAGGGGCACTCTCTTAAAGGGAGTGCTCTTAATCTCAGCTTGTTACCTGTATAAAAGATACCTGTCCACAAAAGCAATCAATCAATCAAATTCCAAACTCTCCACCATGGCCAAGACCAAAGAGCTATCCAAGGATGTCAGGGACAAGATTGTAGACCTACACAAGGCTGGAATGGGCTACAAGACTATCACCAAGCAGCTTGGTGAGAAGGTGACAACAATTGGTGCGATTATTCACAAATGGAAGAAACACAAAATAACTGCCAATCTCCCTTGGTCTGGGGCTCCATGCAAGATCTCACCTCGTGGCGTTTCAGTGATCATGAGAACAGTGAGGAATCAGCCCAGAACTACACGGGAGGTTCTTGTCAATGATCTCAAGGCAGCTGGGACCATAGTCACCAAGAAACCAATTGGTAACACCTACACCGTGAAGGACTGAAATCCTGCAGCGCCCGCAAGGTCCCCCTGCTCAAGAAAGCACATGTACAGGCCCGTCTGAAGTTTGCCAATGAACATCTGAATGATTCAGAGGAGAACTGGGTGAAAGTTGTGGTCAGATGAGACCAAAATTGAGCTCTTTGGCATCAACTCAACTCGCCGTGTTTGGAGGAGGAGGAATGCTGCCTATGACCGCAAGAACACTATCCCCACCGTCTAACATGCAGGTGGAAATATTATGCTTTGGGGGTGTTTTTCTGCTAAGGGGACAGGACAACTTCACTGCATCAAAGGGACGATGGATGGGGCCGTATATCGTCAAATCTTCGGTGAGAACTTCCTTCCCTCAGCTGGGGCATTGAAAATGGGTTGTGGATGGGTATTCCAGCATGACAATGACCCAAAACACATGGCCAAGGCAACAAAGGGTGGCTCAAGAAGAAGCACATTAAGGTCCTGGAATTGCCTAGTCAGTCTCCCGACCTTAATCCCATAGAAAATTTGTGGAGGGAGTTTGAGCTGCCTAATATCAGCCTCGAAACCTAAATGACAGGATCTGCAAAGAGGAGTGGGACAAAATGCCTCCTGAGATGTGTGCAAACCTGGTGGCCAACTACAAGAAACGTCTGACTTCTGTGATTGCCATCAAGGGTTTTGCCACCAAGTACTGAGTATGTTTTGTGAAGGGGTTTAATACTTATTTCACTCATTCAAATGCAAATCAGTTTATAACTTGCTATTCTCTCTCACTGTTAAAATAAACCTACCATTAAAATGATAGACTGATCATTTCTTTGTCAGTGGGCAAATGTACAAAATCAGCAGGGGATCAAATAATTTTTTCCCTCACTATAATTGGATGTAGAACAAGTAGGATTTCTTTATTTCTTATAAAGAAGTTTAATCATGCAGCCATGATCATAACGTACTCAACTTGAAAATAGCCTATGGTTAATAGGACTTGCTTTCATATAGACAACAGAATGGGAGATAGAGGAGATCTGAAATGTTAAAGAGTTAAGTTCATTTACGTTCCTTGTAAGTTTGTAGTTTAATTACTGTTAAGGGCAACTGAACTGCAAAATGCTGTATTTGTACTGTTCGAAAGTAGAAAAATTAGCTTTTTTAGAAAAATTAAATTTGTGATAAGATGCATTAATGCAGCAAATACTAAATAATAACTAGAGTCCATTGAAGTTGGGTGATCAATAAGTTTCAATAATAGTAGTAATCCTGATATTTTATGCATCTTCACAGTTTTTCTCCTATTTGATTTTGCTTCTGGTGCCTTTTTCCCCTTTGCATTGCCCTAGAAGGATGTCTTCTAAAAATATTTCTTAAAGCAAGATAGGGAACCTTTGACCCATTGGAAAGGGATGGAATCAGGCATCTAAAAGCTGAATAATTATTCAGAAGGACATTTTGTGAAGAAATTAGTGCAGCTTCACTCATAATTATTTATTAAACTTGTACGCTGTCCAACTCTCAAGGCCTCTGGGTGATCATTGAAATTCTGAATGCTCTTGCAGTTTCAAAAGCCTTCTCATAAACAAGATATTTATATTGGGATTGCTGCTGAAGCAAAACTTAAATGTTTTTGTGTTCTTAGAGAGGCCCTTGAAACAGATAATAGAGTGGGATTTTGATTTAGCCCTTTGCCTCTGGATAGGTGGAAAGCAGTTGATTCAAAGTCTGGTGTTTGGACCATGATCTTTCTTTGATTTCATTAAATAAAAATTGGGGCTATTTCCAAATTTGAACACATATCACTTGAATTTTATTTTAATGTGTGTTTCTTGTTTCAGGACAAAGTTGACAGTATTCAGTTTTCAAACAGAGATGACAGGTATGTTTATAAAGATTGTTTTGTTAAATGTTAAAGTAAGCCAGCATTGTTTTAACATTCATAGAAGATAAATATTCTCTTTGGATTTTTTTGGAACAGAAAGTAGCATGTAGATGAAATCCAGTGATTACAGATATTCATTTGTCCAGAAAAAAAGCTTGATGTACATATGACTCACAATTGAATTATTAGAATTTATTAAATATCATGCTGGAATAGTAGTTTGGGAGGAGCAACTTTATTGAAGTCAGAAGGTTATTCATTTGTAGTAGTAAAATCTATCAAAGAAACCTATCCGTTACTATTTAAAGTATATTATTTGGAGCAGTAATCTATATTTCATAGTAACAAAGCCATACAAATGTGGTATGATTAGGGAGGAGAATACATGAAAAATGGGAATAATAAGCCTAATACATACATTACAATTTATACTTGTGAGTTGAAAAAAAAATGTGTGGACTGTTTGTATGTGCCTCTACAATGGCAGCTGTTGGACACCCTAGTTTTAGAAGATGTTGTGCTTATTATTTAAGAAAGTATAGGAATGAGATGCCCATATGCTTGGATCTCACATAGCAAGATTATTGTACTTTAATGGCAGAGGAATTTATTTGTCCCTGTCTTACTTCAGAGTTGCAGTTGCCATTCTGTGGACAGAATAGAAATAAATATATTGAGAGAGAAACGATGGCTCGGGAGAATATCTACTCTCTTTTGATATAGGAATATGTGGACTGGGGTTGAGAGCATTTCTTATAAGAGACAAAATATTGGTGGGCCCCTACTGTACAATTTGGTGAGCGGTATATATTTATGTCACAAAGATTTCTATGCTCATAAGAAACATTTAAATAACATTGGAGGCCAAATTTGTGGGATGTATTACTCTAGTTACATTTTATATATGCAATATGCATGGATTCATCATTTCAGAAGGATGCTATTTATAATATGAACAATTGATTTCTATTTTGTATATCACATAGTCTTTTTTAAATTTATGTTAAGGTTCATAAGTGGCAGCAGAGATGGAACAGCCCGAATCTGGCAATTTCAGCAAGCAGAGTGGAAGAGCATTTTATTGGATATGGCTGACAAATTACCAACGTAGGTACACCTTATTGTGAATACTCAAGCTGGAGGTTGATATTATCAGTATTAAATGAATTTGAAAAAGATTGTATTATTGTAATTTGGAGGAACCTTCTAAATACTTAGGAGAAATGTTTTTCCCCCAAAAAGGATATAGTTTGGTGGAAAGCCATTTTAGTTTAAAATAGTTTATATAGCTTGATATTTGTAGAAAAGTTTGGTGTGCCCTTTTTTGCAAAGATTTTCCAATATAGAGTGACTTCTATATTAATATTTTAAACTTTATTCATCATATTTATAGCCCATCACAATTGTACACTGACTCTTGATAGCTCACAAACATAAAAGAAAAATAAAACAGTTTTTATAGAATAAAATGCCAAAACGCCCTCCAGAAAAGCTCCAATTTAAGAAACTTCCAGAAGACGACCACAGTTGGGACCAAGTACAATTCTAGTGGGAGGCCATTCTAGAGGTCTGGGCCAACAATAGAGAAACAATACTTCTGAGCCTTGGCCCTCAATAGGAGACAATCAGCTGTTTCTCCCTGTATGAATTAAACTGCATATTTGAAATGCAGAATACTGTACTTAAATGTTTACTTGGATTAGTTTTTGTTTTCATTTTGCTCTATGCTTAACCTTTATTAGATAAGCGGATTAGTTGCTTTGTTCTGTTTCATAGTATTAAAATAAATCAATTCATTCAAAGTAGTGATCTGTGTCCAGAGGAGGATAAATTTATGAAACCCAAAGTGACTATGATAGCTTGGAGTCGAAACGATAATGTGGTAGTTACTGCTGTGAACAATCATCTGCTCAAAGTATGGAATTCTTATTCTGGACAGCTTCTACATGATCTCAAAGTAAGTAAAAAGTATTTCCTATAATTTTTCTTCAGATTAAATATTACTAGATACATTTTCTTAAAATATATATTCATAAGACACTGAGTGTTAATGGTTTGTTAATTCAATTTTGTTTATAATAAGGGATCTTTTATATTTTTCAACATTTTTTAAAAAAAGCCGAAAGAAACATGAATGCAGTTGAGTGGCTAGTAACCGGTAAAATGAGACTAGAAATGATAGCACCAAATAGAAGTTAGATAATAACCTTTCTTTAAAGAAAAACTCAGCCAAAAATTAGACATGGCTCTAATAAGCAAAGTAACACAATGCTTACTTGAAGGTAGGAAAAGCCAACATTTGGACAACTTTGGAACTTTTATTTACACTATAATACGTAATAGAGCAAAATTTCAGTGATCGTTAATACCTATGCCTCAAAAAGATGGGGTTTTCAGAATCTTTTTGGATATTAAATTTGGATAAATGGATAAATAAATTGTCTATGGAGATTCTCAGTCATCCAGGTCATGGTTGTCCCAAAAGGCAAAAGAAGAAGTCAGAACTAAAGAAGCTTTTTGAATGAAAAGTGAAAAACAAAAAAAAAGTCCAGTTGCCTTTTGAAAAAGCACCTTTCGGACAACCATGACCTTGATGACTAAAAATCTCCATAGATATTTATTTGAAATTTAACCATTGCTGTGTTTCCCTGAAAGTAAGACCTATCCCGAAAACAAGCCCTAGCTTGACTTTTGGGGGTGGGCCTAATATAAGCCCTACCCCCAAAATAAGCCCTAGTTTTGGGGTGAGGCACACACCTAAAATCAAACTGGGGTGGGGGGGTGGAGCTGCTTAATGCCCACTTCTTCTGCGGCATCCCCTGGCCTGAATTTTGTCGGCAGGCCTTTCCGGAAAGCCTCTGCAGCTGAGAACCAAGCTACGGATTGAATCCATAGCTTGGTTCTCGGCTGCAGAGGCCTTCCAGAAAAGCCTCTGACAGCGAAATGCAGGCCGGAGCGCCATTCTCAGCTGCAGAGGCATTTCCTTCGGCTGCAAAAGAAGTAAACCGTCTGGGCAGGGCTGTCAGTGCCGCTGTGCAAGGTGAGTGGAAAAGACACCTCCCGAAAATAAGATCTGATGTCTCTTTTGAAGGCAAAAAAAAAAAAGATCCAGGTCTTATTTTCAGGGAAACACAGTAATAATGAAAATCCACTTTTCTCCATGACTAATACATTAATTTCTATTCAAAAGGGACATGCGGATGAAGTGTTTGTTTTGGAGCCTCATCCATTTGATTCCAGGATTATGTTGTCCGCAGGCCATGATGGCAATATCTTCATCTGGGATATAGAAAAAGGCATTCAAATGAAACATTATTTTAATATGGTAAATATTATTTCTAAAAGTATTGTTTTAGCAAGGCATGCATTTTTTTAATTTTTACCTTCAGCTTTATTGCCACTTAAATAATTATTTATTAGAAGCACCAGGCAGCTAATTGAATCTAGGAAGGAGGATTTTTGAAAAGTCTAAAGCAGGGGTTTGAAACTCGCAATGTCACGTGATGTGTCGTGATGTATCGCGACTTTTTTGCCATTGCCAGCAATGGGGTGGGCACGGTTTCGCTATGATGCATCCGGCCTACGGGCCGGCAGTTTGACGCCCCTGGTGTATAGTGTTCACAATTTCAATATAAAATGTAAAATTTTCTGTTAAAAAAAGTTAAATCTTATAATTCACTTTGGCCATTCAATTTCCCAATTATATTTCTAAGTGCATATCAAACTTAAAGTATTAATACTTTAATCAATAATGATTAAGTCAATTCTATAGACTTGCAATGATTATTTAAGAAGTCAAGTTTTGTTATTCTAGACCGTGAAGCTATTACCTAATAAAAGTTATTCTCTGTTGGAGATACTTTGTAAAGAGTATATATGTCCATATAAATTAAGATTAGAGGTCACATCTCCTCTTCCTTTTCCTCTTTGTCAGAGGGTTGCTGTAAGAGAGAAAATACTGTTCTTGCTATTGGTATGATTACATTTAAAAGGTTTTTGAAATTAGGCTGCAGTGAAGGCCACAGTTACCTTAGCTCTGCTTTAATGGAACACATGTTGAAGAAGGATATTGGCTCTGTTGTGAAATGCACAATTGGCATGTAAAAAAATGGTATTTTGTATTTTTTTTATTTGCTCAGTTAATGACTCTGGGCGGCCATAGTTCAGTATCTTTTTACATTAGTTAATTTTCAATTTAATCACTCAAAGTTTGAGCAGGAAGCAGGTTTCTCTTTGTACAGCTTAAAATAGTGGTCCAGAAACCTAGCTTCGTAGCATTCATTCTTTATTCATTTTTTAAAATTATTTTTAAAATCATTTTTTAATTATTCATTCCTAGCATTCATAATTGAACCATGGATAATATGCAATTATATTGTCTGGTTATAGTGGATTGCGGCATAGTTAACAAAGCTGAAATAGCCTAATTAGACAATTGTAATTAGCCAATATGGTATCATCTGACATGTCATCCACTATTATTAAGTACCTAACTAGACTGATTCCTTTTTACTAATCTTAGCTGCTTGATGCACAGTTTTGTGCTAATGGGACAGAGGGCATCAGTTACAGATGGTTAAGACCTCATCTGAAAAGCTATAAGCAGATCTGGAAAGTTTTTGTTTTGATTTTGATTTTGATTTAGATTGAAGGTCAAGGACATGGTGCTGTGTTTGACTGCAAGTTTTCATCAGATGGCCAGCATTTTACCTGTACAGATTCTCATGGACATCTCTTGATATTTGGGTTTGGTTGTAACAAATCATATGAAAAGGTATTCTTTCAGCTTTAGTTGTTTTTAGCTGTTAAAAATATATAAATCAACAAAAGCTTTAATTGGTAAATTGGTGAAGTTAGACCTCAGTCCATAGAGTGATTGAGAACTGAACATCATATTGTCTTTCTTTTTTTAAAAAAAATATGTAGGTACATCACTGCAAGTAGTTACCGTCTCTAATCTCAAAAGATGGGCTTTTTTTCTAAATTATTGACATTGTTGCTAAACTCTTAATCTTTTGTGTTAATATTTAAACGTAAAAATTTAATTTATGAAAAGTAACTATTTCACCAATTTCCCTTTGTGTAAAACACAACAATTCAGTTATACTTTGGGTAAACACTGATTAAACATTTCTTAATCTTAGATGCCCAATCTGTTGTTTTGCAAAACAAAATATTTGCCTTGAAAGTCTCAACTATTGCACTGAAGAGTGAGGAAAAAATTAGAATGGAATTATAATAAAATATTGCCTTTCTTGGGAATCAATTTAAGAGAAAATAGAGAAGCATCCTCTGCAAAAGGAATAATTAAAAATAGTTCGAATGAGTGATTGTGTTAGATCAAAATAAGTCATATAACAACAATTTGCTTCTTAGGAAACCAATGATTGAAATTCATTAAATATTTCACATAAGATAATTTATAGCTTTCCTGAAGTTTACCTTTTTTGTGATCACTGTAACATATCTAGTTTAGATATAGTTAATAAAGTTAATTATATATAAGCTTCATTGTTTTCTAGATTCCTGATCAGATGTTCTTCCACACTGACTATCGACCATTGATTCGAGATTCTAACAATTATGTCCTAGATGAACAGACACAGCAGGCACCCCACCTCATGCCTCCTCCATTCTTGGTAGACGTGGATGGAAATCCCCATCCGACAAAATACCAGCGATTGGTACCAGGAAGAGAGAATTGTGCAGATGAACATTTGATTCCTCAACTGGGATATATAGCAACAAGTATGAAATGAATAATTAAATCTATGGCAAATCCTATCTTTGGGATTGGTAAAACCTGATAAAATGTTATATAAATATATTGTTTTCAAATTGTACTCGTATTACATTCACGATGTAGTTGTACTAGTATATTCAAGCTATAAAATATTAGTGCTTTCATTGGATTAGGGCCAGTTAACAGGATTAATCTTTACTCATGCTAGAGATCTAAAAGAAGAGACTACTGGTGTAAGCCATGGTCTTCAAATGCACAGGGATTAAAGTGCTCGCAATTTTGCACTTGTGTTTGGATAGTTCAAATAGGAAGACTTTCATTTGCCTTATCTAGATTTGCAAATCTGTCTTTGTTTTCCCTATCACCATAATAGGTTTGCTAAAGGAAAGCTACCTTTATATCCCTCATTTTTTTTACAAGCTGGAATCTATGCTTAATTTCTAAAATTTTTACAAAAGTTATCTTCAGACTTCTGTGGAACAATATCATTCCATTTACTTAGGAAGTTGTTTTTCCTGTGATGCTTATGTCAGTATGAAAGATACCAACATGCTTTTACTGAGGCAGTCTTGGAATTTTCAATAAAGATGCTATTGATTATACTTTATGATACATATTTTATATTCTCAAAATGAAGATCGATTTCCCCAGAATTTAGAGCTCCTTTGTACAATAAGCGATATGAAAAATCTTTTCTTTTTAAGTTTCAGTTGTTAAACTGAAATGTGGAATGTTACATTTTAAATGGCCAGACTGCTATTTGAAGATTCTAGTGGTGCCCCAACTTTGAAGCTGAATATGTAAAACAGCCAACAAAATTATGAGATGGAAATTCCACAAAATTTTAACTTGAAACATTTTGCACACTCTATATCCATCATTTTGTCTCCTTTGCTGGAATTATAGTTGAGGCTTTAAAAAAATTGCTTGAGGAAGGAAGTACATCTCAAAAGAACGTTCAGTTCTCACTTTCTGTGTTCCATTAAATTTCATTTAAATTTGCTTTCACATTAAAAACTATTTCTCTCATAGGTGTGTCTTTTAACAATGTTTTTTTAGCTACTTGGGTAATCTCTGTTTTTGTAGTAAGATTTGCCTGGTTACATCTTGACAAAAATGAAGTCTGTTACTCTTAAAGGGATATTCATTTAGACAAGGGGGCAACTTAATCATTTTTCATTTTAGCAAAATGGCTGTGTTTATGTCTTGCCATATTCCCCATAGTCACCACTTTGTGAGAACATTAATTGAAAAGAATGAAGATTCTAGATGTATCCATAGGCAACAAAAAGGTTTTGATTCCTGGCCTACCTTCCTATGCACTTTCTCAATGGTTACTTTTTGCCCAGCCTTGAAAAGGATATTTTTCTACGTTTGCCCAATATATATATATTTTTATGGAAAGAAGAATGGAGAAGCCTTTATACACGGAAGATTTCCAATTTTCTGAGGGGTGGAGGAAAGTAACATTGAATGATTATCTCCTAACAGTAGGCAAGAATAACTTTCAGAATAAATATTTATATGAAGGGAGAGTTCTGGATACTTCTAAAGCAAGGGTCCCCAATCCCCAGTCTGTGGACCAGTACCAGGCTGCGGCATGCCAGCGACCAGTCCACACAAACAAGCAAAGCCCCATCTGTGGGATGCAGGCAGCACACAAAACCACGCCCCTTCCGGTCCGCGGAAAAACCGCTCCACGGAACCGGTCCCTGGTGCCCAAAAGATTGGGGACCTCTGTTCTAAAGTACAGTTGTCAAGCTCCGTTATAATTAGCTGTACTTGTTGACACTATGGAGAATTGTATACCTCCAGATATTATATATCTGATACATGCCATCAGATATTACCATCCAAATGTAATAATTTGTGCAGGATGTTTTAATTTGAAATTTCGTATTGAGTAGGAGATTGGGCTTCTTTGTTCTTTGAAGAAGAATGCATCTTTCCGTTTTTTTTTTTTAAATTTTGGCATATCATTTCAATGCCCCAATTATGAAGAAAGTTCTTGGATAAGAAGCGAAATGTTTTCAAAGAAAAAAACCAGAAAGTCCAGTTGCCTTTTGAAAAAGTACCTTTGGGAGAATCATGACCAGGATGATTGAAAATTCATTTGAATATTATTATAATTTTGTGTAGTTCTAATATATAAAGGAAGTGGGGTATAAGTGAACAAATAGTATCAACATTTGATGCTTGCTCAGAAAATCCAAAAGGGATGAATTCTTTTCCCAAGAGTATAAATGAGCCCTTTTAATTGCATGGGTCTGTAATATCACTGGCAGGTTTTATTGAGAATGGGACCAACATTTAAATCTTTCATGCTGAAATAAATATTTCCTTTTAACTTTTGAAAGGTGATGGAGAGGTTATAGAACAAGTAATAGGACAACAGACTGCTGAGCAGGATGAGCAGAGTTTGGAGCCCAGCATACTTGATGGCATGATTAGACATTTACAACAATTGCAGGATCAAAGAATTGGCGTAGACCAGGATATTGTTTCAGCTAATCCACACTATGGACCAGAAACACCTAGAAGAGGTTGGTACTTTGTTGAAGTTTAGAATAAAGTATTAATTTTTGCTATTTCCCAGGTTCTTGAGTATTTGCTAGTATTTTTAATATTTATTTCTATTGTTAACCGCCAGTGTTTTGTATGCTGTGGTGATGCAATGGTTAGAATGCAGTATTGTATGCTAACTCTGCCCACAGCTAGGAGTTCGATCCTGACTGGCTGAAAGTTGACTCAATCTTCTGAGGTCGGTAAAATGACCCAGATTGTTGGGGGCAATATGCTGACATTTGTAAACTACTCAGTGCTGTAAAGCATTATGGAGCGGTATATAAATCTAAGTGCTATAATGCTAATGCAAGGCTGCAGTAATCTTGAGAGATTCATGGTGGTTAACAACAGAAGTAGGGGCACAGTTTGCATTTTGATGAATCTAAGACTTTTAGAATGTTGTAGATTCTTAAAAGCACATAATTTACATAGTATGCTAAAGAAACTTTTTATATTTATGAGGAAAAACTGTTCCAGTCTTCAAGCATAGCTCAGATTTAGGGAGAAATATTAATGCTGATATATTTAGAGGAAGTATATTATATTTGAGTGGGGACATTTCACAACTGTCTCAAACAGTTTGTTTTTTGGGGAACAGATTTGTTGGATTCACTATACAATGTATTTCTCTTTGCCTTCTGATCTTTGGGTTTATTTTTTATTTGAAACACTTCATGATAAATTTTATCCTAAAACGTTAAAATTCATTTTCTTTTAAATTTTCTTTATAGACTATTATCTTAAAATCCAAATAACTGGACTACATACTAATTCATGCAATATTTTGTTATATAATTTTAACATTTATGTTGTAACTATTATAGCAGTCTTTTATATGGTATTCTGTGGTGTGCTTTTTACTCCCTGTACTTTGTATTTTTTCAGTGGTTCTCTAGATGTTCTATGTGCATGGTTTTTATGAATTATTTGATGTATTTGTTATTTTCATCCTAATTCATTATTTAAATGTATTTTATCATCCGACTGTATTCTTGTTATATCCGAACTCTCTGCAACTAAAATATATGTATTTCAAACATTGCTTTTATACTTCTTGGAAATTTTCTTTTTTTCTTAAATCTTTTTTCTGGAATTGTTTAAGCTCTGGTTATATTCCAAAGGCTCAGCTCAATACTAAACTAATAATATGGGGAAAATTCATAGTGCAAGTTAAAAAAAATCATCCATATGAAAAAAGTGCCTTTTGGACTTGAGTACACAGTACTTAATTATCTCCAAATGTTCAGATACTGTTCAGATAGCTGTCTGGCAATCCTAACTAATACCACATAAAATGTAATCCATTTTACCTTGTTTAGATGAGGCACTGCAAAGTCTGGAGGGTTATGTTAGGTTATCCAGAACAATTGCTAATATATGAATTCTGAATTGATCAGTTCCCCATAATTCTTCTCTAGAGCAAGAAAGAGTCAGTATTGTCAGTGCTCCATACAGTGACTCCCCATAAGGAGACCATAAGACAATGGTCTCTGGTGGGTTTTAGAGCTCTGGGATCTGAGAGAAAGCATATCTGCCCAGGTTGAGGTTCAAAGCCTTCAAAGGGATACTGTTTTCGCATATTTCCTTTCTTAATCACTTTTGGAAATTGCTTGTTAATAGCTTTTTGGATATCAAGAACCTTTAGAAAGGCACGTTTCATTATACTAGATGAATTTGCACTGATTCTATCCTTGACAAAAGTTTTATGCAAGTTTAAGGACTTAAAAATTTCTTATTTTTCAATAAAAGCAAAAAAGTGATTATAGAATTGATTTTGGAAAGCTATAAATGGATTAAAGGGCCAGAGAGACTTGAAATAACAGAATCATAAGGCTGGAAAGAACCTTGCAGGTTTTCTAGTCCAACCCCCTGCCCAATATATGATTTTGAAACTAACTTTACGAAACCTTCCTGTGTGAAAATATTGATGATTTGGAGAAAAAAAACATGACAAGAAGATTTTGAAGGTTGATCCTAGAAGACACTGGAAAGAACTAAGATTGCAATTAAAGGAGAAGATATGCATTAACATTGAATGAAGCAAAAATACCTGGAAGAATTCAAGATTATTTGGGAACAATATTCTCAAAAATTACTTTTAAAATTACCTTTCATTATAAAAAGTAAAAAAAAAAAAAGGATTATTGAAGAGGAAGAATTTTTTGGGGGGGATAAAATAGAAACTGAGGCTGATTCAAATGTGGATCTTGACTCGGACTGAATAATGAGGCTCTTAATAGATAAGATCTCTTCTTTCTGTATCTTATTTTTGTTGAAATATTAGAAAAAGAGATAAGTTACTGAAATTGTTTGTACTTGTCTTGATGAAAAATGTAGAAGTTTATTCTTTGTATGTCTTTGTTATTATTTCTTCTTTTTCTCTGTACTTTTTAAATATTTGTATTAGTTTTTATTAGCTTTTTTAATCTTTGTATTTACAAACCTCAAAAAAAAAATATTAAATAAATGCTGGAGTGTGGTAATAGGTATATCATCCAGCAGAAGATACTAAAGTTTTTGTTCCAAGAATATATGTTCACTTATTTTTCATGCATCTTTTTGAAGATTTCCGTAGGTTAAGCTCAGATATCCAGTCACCTCCTAATATTGGTCTGAGACGTAGTGGTCAAGTTGAGGGTGTACGTCAGATGCACCAAAATGCTCCAAGAAGTCAAATTGCTACAGAAAGAGATCTTCAGGCTTGGAGACGAAGAGTAGTTGTTCCAGAAATGACATCCAGTATATTTAGGTGAGCAGACTCATTAAGCTAAAAACCTGTTGAAATTAACTACAAGCACTTTTGCTCATTTACTTTATTTTAGTTTGTACCACAGGCACAACAATATTGTTGTTCTTAGGCTTTATTTATCTCTTGGACTGATTTAGATATCATTTTGTAATAACACTTGTATTACTGTAGATACACTTTCTAGTTTTTTCAGAAAAAGGAAAAACAGCTTTTATGATCTAAATTGAAAAGTTCTGGGGTTGGATTTTCTTTCATCTTTTTTTAGTCAAATAAACTATGACTCTAAGATAAGCATTAATTGAAGAACCATTTTTGTATAAGGGAAACTAATTTGTAGTTGTTAGTTCTCTTAGAAATACACGTTAGCAATAAAGTAGTAACCTTTCATGTTTGAGGGTTTTTTCTGACAAGTTTTCAAAATAATTTGTTAGAAATCAGGAAGAATATAGGATTGCAAAAGGAGAAGAAGAAAAATGGCTGTATACAATAGAGCAGAAAAGGAAGCTGTTTCAGTCCTCAGAAAAGGTAAGAAATCCCTGACTTTTGAGATTCATAATTACACACATGTAATTTAAAAAGCCTAGCTTGTTAAATTTGGAAAAGTATGGCAGTTAAAAGCCCAGACAAATCTATCTCTTGCTTGGCTGCTTTAAGCAATGTTAAATTATGTGTCATTGCAGCTAAGAATAAATAGATTTAAATAAAATGTTATGAAAACAAGAATACATGCCGTGGACTGTACTTTACTGAACCAGCATAAACCATGAAGATGGCAAATAATGTGAATAATTGGCTTTTCCAGTAGTTAAGTCTATTGTACTATTTTTGAAGCAAGTGTCCAAAGAATGTCTCCTTTCTGATTGAACTGAATCCATTATTTCAGTGATGGTTATTTCAACTCCTGAGGGTTTTTTTTTCTCCAAAATGTCATTAATTCAGAGTGACTCTGAAGATTCATTGATGCAATCTAAGAGAAGACTTTTCAGACGTAAATATGCATCGTATCAATCACAGAACAACATTGAACAATCTGATTCTTCCAGTGAAGATGTGGTTGATTGTTTTCGATTCACTGAACAGGTAAGCAGTTTTGATTTACCTTAATGACTCATACAACCAAAAATTTTGACTTTGATTTCTAGAAGTTCAGGCTTTAAAGATAGGATAGATTGTTTAACTAGGCATTTTGCTGTGTTGAACTATATAATCACTTTATGATAATGCATCATAGTTATTACATAGCCATTTAAATGAACTGATAAATTTGTTGTAGAGGTAATCCAATTGATAACTAATTTAGATGTACTAAATTCAAATAGGCTGAAAGTTGTAGACTAGTAGAGATATACTTGATTGTGATATTTTATAATACTACCACTTTTATACATGGTGTATCTCAGCGGCGGTTGGACTTAACATAAAGTGCCATTCTGGTCACCAGGCAATGGACCCATCAGGAAAGGGTTAAATCAGTCAGAAGGCAGAATTAAGATTTCTACAAGTAACCACTCCCTACTTTAGAAATTCCGTAGATGGGACTTATCAGGTCTACCTTCTGGTGTTGGAAAAGGCAAGATAGAATAAGTGCAACTGTTTTTCTTGATCACCGGAAATCTGGTTTGCTATCTGGTTTGAATGCAGAATTGGTCCTGGTTCAAGATTTGGCCATACTGGAAGGTACTATGGTTCTTGTTAGCCTCACTAGGTAGACCAGACTAAGAAATCAACTCCATAGGATGGCTAAAATTCTTCATATTAATAACAGAATCTTGCAAATCTGATTGTGCTGTACTACCTTCTCCTTATGTTTCAGTGAATTAGGGAGGTATTAGAGCTGTTTCTGAATATCATCTGGATGTTCTGGATATTAAAAATGGTTTAGCCTTTTTAGCCTAGATAATAGAGCCTGTATATCTCTGGCAAGGTCATCTTCCTTACTCTCTTCACCTATACTAATGTTAATTATAGAGTTTTCTGGGCTAAAAAGGAGGAATGATCAACATCGTTTGTGGCTAGTATTCTCTCTTGTACATCATTCTTGCTAAAATTGAAACAAGTGGCAGTTCATGCAGCAGACTCTGGTCAAGAGGTCATCAGAACATTGGTGAAACTAAGAGAAGAACTTAGTCACTTTTCTGTTCTCCCTCCATGTAAAATGTGAACCTTCCCATCCATCCGTACTTTTCTGAAACATCCCTAGATTCAGTATTCATTCTGCTTGAGAAATTATGTGCTGAGCCAGTCTGCAGATATAATTTGTGTCCACCTATAAGGCGACAAGGTACCTCTAATTGGAACCTCTTTGATTCTCTTCTCCCTCTCTCCCTTTCTTTGTCTGTTTAGGTACATTTTTGTGGAAACATTATATGCACCAAATGTGGTGTTATAGTAAGGACACAAACACTTCAAATGACAGCCATACTTCCCTCATCTGAATGAAGGGAAGCCATGATTCTTTTCTGGACCATGTTCCCTAACCCAAGATGATTTTCTAAGGAACTGAGTTCCCCATTCCATAAGGCTGATATCTGTGGAGATTTGGTCTTTGCAGACTTTTATTAAGAGCATTTTCTTGAAACATTAGTTGACACCAGTCGCCATCATAGACAGCTGATCATCAGGCTCAAGTGAGTTACTACTAAACTGCCTCTGTAAATAGAGCAGAAATCTTGAGCTGCAATTATCATGCTTTGTAATTTTGCCAAGATTATGACAAACCATTTCCTTGATGCCAGGATTTTCTGAATTGTAATCTCTAAGTAAACCTGAGAAATTTGGAGTGCAATGATCTGATGGGAATGTGAAGACTTGTATCATGAGACAGGCGTATTAATGCCAGGAAATTGTTGGAAAGAACAGTCCCTGTTCTAAATGCCAGTATCTTAATTTTTAACATCCAAACTCTGATGAATTAGTTCAGTGCTTTGAAGTTCATAACAGCTCTCCACATCCTGTTTTTCTTTGGGACCATGAGTAACAATAAGACACCAGTAAATATAGCTTGTTAAGTTTGCTCAGATATTGAGTAGATGACAGATTTGATTAAATTGAAAGAGGAGCAAAAGGTTTTCTCAACTCTATTATCATCTTGATTACCATCAAACCCATTTGTTTATTATTTCAGTTTCTTAGACCACCCATTCATGAATAACCTTCAACACTTTGAGGAACTGCACTCAATTATCATGGCACGTTTACTCTTACTTTTCGTTCCTTAAGAATCAAATCTCCAATAATCCAAAGAAATAGAATTAAGAGAAAGTAAAAGCTGTTTGTAGTTTGAATACAGCAGCAAAAAGTCTCCTTTAAATATAGCTCCCTATTCATTAATACCAAGCTTTGTGTTTCCCAAAGAAACCAGTCCCTGATGTCTATAATCTTGGTCTCTTTAGTCTTGTATCTGTCTAATGCATGAGTGATATCAATATCATCTTTAAGGGATCCCACTGGTGTACTTATGCCTACAGTGGTGAGTGTAGAATGATTCTTGCAATCTTTTTTTAATAAGAGAAAAGAACATATTCAAATAAATGCCATGTATTGTCCATTATAGGGCACTAGGGAAATAGGATGCAACAGTCATAAGTGTGAAAAACAATCATAAGTCACTTTTTTCAGTGCCATTGTAACTTCAAACAGCCACTAAATGAATGTTTGTAAGTCAAGGAGTATATGTATTGCTTCTCAGTTGAAAGGACAGAAAAGATCTTCCTCAGCAGAAGGCAGAGCTAAGATTTCCTTGGATGGAAATGCCTCCATGGGATAAGAAGTCTTAATCCTGTCTTCTGATTTGTAAAGTGGAGTTAACCCTTTGGGACATCCTCAGTGACCAGAAATAGAGTTTATGTTGTCTATACTTTTACTTCCAATCTTAAGAAAATTCTATTTAATTAGGAAAAAATTCCTAACTCTTAAAACAGTTTGACTCTGAAATCAGTTATTTAAGGAGATGGTTTATTAAGTATATTCAATGGAAATTAATCTGAATACCTGCATTTGAAGGCCTAAAAGGTCACTTCCAATTTTTTCAGTGATTCTAATTTGGCCTAAGAATTATTTAAAAATGAATACTCTATACATATTCTCTTCAAAATATATATAGAATAGAATATAGAAAATGTTTGTGTTGTGATGTTTTTAAATGATTTTATGATATATGATTTTATGATACGATTTTATGTTTTTCAATTATACATGAGGTTTTCAGCATGGCAAGAGATGCTAGCAAAATGATAAACCATTCTATTTCATTAGTGAATGATAAATAGTGTGATAAGTTAGCAGTGTAATAAGGAATCTTTACATTAGGATATAGTACTCAAACTATTTGTTAATCTAGGAACGAGAAGAAAGTGATGGATTGAGTTTGTCTTCCCACGAGGAAGAATGGAAGAGTGACAAAAAATCCAACAGTAATAGTTCCAGGTAAAATCACTGTCAGGTATACATATGTCATATACTTGAAACCTGGGAGTATTGCATTTTAATTTTTGTGGTGACTTTTTAAATAGAATAATTTTGAATTTAGATACATGACATTTATATCATCTTTATCACTACAAAAGATGCTGTGTTGTTGTTTGCATGACTTGCTACTGACTGCTGCTGTTGACACAGACTTGCGTCTACTGAATGCTTTGCCTACAGCTGAGTAATCCTATCCAGCTTTTTGGAATAATAGTCTAAAATAGTTGAGTGTGTGAGTGTGTGTATATGTATTTATTAACTTGCAACAACATTAATGAAATGTCTTATATAGCTCCAAACTAATTTGTTTCTGTAGTGCAATAATAGAAAATGCAAGGTGCCTTTCTAAGTTTTCAGTATGCTAAGTATGCCTAAAATGCACTGTGAAGTTGAGTTTAGAAAGTTTACCTGTAGAACTTTTTCACCTGTAGAAAGTTCAGTATTGTGGCTTGCTCACTTCTAATTCCATATATGTAACAATACATCTTTTTGTTTAAAATTTCCCAGAATTTAGGCTTAGCTTCAAACAATTTATCTTTGAATGGCAAACAACAGAATTTAAATTATTAGTCTAAATACAGAACATTTTAAAATACAATATAAATATTTTGGTATTTAACTTGTACTATATTATGTTGTTATCTCATAGTGATTCATCGAGTCAGTATTCTGATTGGATTGCTGATGCAGGAATTAACCTACATCCTCCTGTGAGAAAGTCTCAACGCAAAATCATTAGATATTGTAGTTCTTCTGAAGATGAAGTATCAATAGAAAAAATTTCTCCACCCAAAAGAAGGAGAAAAAGACGGAAAAAATATAAACCGAAAAAACATGAGGTATTGAATTTTATCTATTTTTGCCTACTTTTAGGAATACCAGGTAGTTCTCGATTTATGGCCATTCATTTAATTACAGTTCAAAGTTACAACAGCCTCGGAAAAACTGATTTATAATCCACCTTGCAGTCACATGATCTCAATTCAGACTCTTGGCAGCCTGCTCAGATTTTCAACCAGTTGAGCAATCAGGGTTTGCAACCATCTTAGCCAGTTTCTGACAAAAAAAAGTCAATAGGGAACTATGTAATTCATTTAATAATCATGTTAGTTTGCTTAACAACCATGGAAAAAAATGGTAATAAAATCCAGTCCAGTCATGTGATGCCTTGCTTTACAACTGCAGTGACTTATAAAGGAAATTTTGGTCCCAATTGTGGTTGTAAGTCAAGGATAACCTGTACAGTTTTTTGGGATTTGCCTTTTTTCTGTATTTAGTCAACACTTAATTGTTCTTAGTTTAACTATTGAATAATTAAAAATATGCAGAAATAGTTTTTATTGCAACTAATATATAGGTATTAATACAAGCAGTATACACCTGCAAATGAAATGTCTTAAAACTTAACTCAGGAAATTTAAATAACTGATAATTCTACAATATCTTCATGTGTTCAAAATATTTCAGGTATATTATCTAATTTTTATAGCAACTACAAGCAACTACAAGTAGCCCTCATTACTGACTGCAGACCTACCGTGTTTCCCTGAAAATAAGACCCGATTTTATATGTATTTTTTCCTCCAAAAGAGGCACCACTTACCTTAGGACCGCCGTAGCCAGGTCTCCCAGGCCCCAACATCTGTTGCACTACTGTCAGTTCTTCTGTAGCCGCATGCCACGTGGCGCATCTTGCAGGTTCCACCACTCATGGCAGGAGGCCGTGTGGCTCATTGCACTGGTGCCGCTGCTCGCAGCAAGAAGCCATATGGCTTATCACACCAATCGTGCCAGTGCTGCCACTCAAAGAAGGCGGCCACGTGGTGTGTTGTACCGTGCTGCATGCGAGCGGTGGTACCTATGCTGCGAGTGGCAGCACTAGCGCAATGCGCCACGTGGCATTTGACCGCAAGCGGCCACAGAAGAACATGGGTAACAGCGCAACAGATGTCGGGGCGTAGGAGGCCTGACTGCAGCAGTCTTAAGGTAAACAGGTGCGGGGCATGTGGGGCAGCTCCGTCCCCCACCCCTGCCCTAGCTTGATTTTTACACGTATGCCTTGCCGCCAAACTAGGACTTATTTTGAGGGTAGAGCTTATATTAGGCGCAAACGTAAAAATCAAGCTAGTACTTATTTTCGGGAAACAGTAGCAATCCCATTGCTAAGCAATCTGTTCATAAAGTGAACTGTCACATGACTGACCGACCTGTGATATCAATTTTGGCTGTGTTTGTTAAGTGAATTACTCCTGGTTAAGCATGGCATCATGGGGCAATGACGTGCAACTTTCTGCCAACTTCCCAAGTGATTTTGCAGTTGGCTGTGAAGTTTGCAAATGGTGATTCCGTGACTATGGAACACAATACCTGTTGAAAATGAATGTTAGTTGCCAAGCGCCCAAATCATGCGATGGCTGAAATTTCAAGAACTAGTTGTACATCTCCGTTTTAAGCATCATTGTGCCTTTGAATGATTGTTGAAAGGTCAGTGAGTAAGGATACTGAACATAAGATAAACAATTATTAGTTTCAATATTACAGATGGGGAGGCTACAGCTAAGAACCAGGATCCCTAAAAATATGTAGGCATCATAACAATGCAGAAGTGGCATTTCACCTATTCTGTTACACCAATGCTCTAAATTTTGTACACACATAGCACACACGAGTATTGCTATATTTTCCCTAGTGATGACCTTTGGCAGTTAAAGTTTCAACTTGAATTCCTTTATATTTCTTTATCTATATTAACTAACACATTCTTATTAAAGGCTAGTATGTGCAAAAGTACATATTTTGCATAAATTATATATAAAGTTAAATTTTAAGGAAGGATACAATGTGTAAAAATGTATCATGTTATAAATATTGTTAACTAAATTTGCACATATTCTTAAAATTTGTAGATGCAATTAATAAAACTATTAATTGTGTTATCTTTTGTGTAGTAGAACATATTTTTCTTCAGATAGTCAGTCTAGATTAGACATAATTTTGTTGAATTGATCATTGTAACCCTGGGAAAATAAACTTTTTTTGCTATAAATCTTTAAATCAATGGCTTGTATGCAATCACGATGTTATTTTGAATAATTTTTTATAGCAACAAATAAATGCTTCTCAACAGTCGGCAGACCAAACATTGTCATCTGATTTTCAATCTTCTGACTGGATAACAAACATCAGACTCCGAAGATCTCCTTTTGTCCCACAAATGGGTGATGAGGTGAGAAAATTGTACTGTATATTTCTTTTAAAGTAGAATATTTAAACTTGGCTTTGTAATTTTAGTTTGTCCATAGGTGGCAAACTATACTATATTAGTGTACTCTTATTACCTTATAGAATTTGTCTTGCTTTAAAGCCACAAAATTTACAATCAGATTTAAAAATACAAAGCTGGGATTAGTTAATTTATAATGCAGTCCTTTTTTAAATGTTATAATGAGCTCTTAGAAATAAAAATTAATGCTCAAATTGGAACATAAATGTCAAATGGATCAATTCTAAATAACACATGAAAACCTTTATATTTTAATCAAATCTGGCATTTTATTTATGAACTAAAACAGTGGCAAAATATTAATATGTACTACAGATAGTGAATGTATTTTAACTATCAATTCAGTAGCATAACAACCAATTTTATGTATACATGTGGGGGAAGAAGCCATAAAATTCTTCTGTTTAGTATTAACTATGTTGGGTATTAATCTACAACACAATCTACAAATTGCTGAGACAATTTTTAATTAATTTTTTTTTAAAAGCAAACAATGAAGTCATCTGTGAAACATCCATTACCTATGGAAGCATTTAATAAAAAAAACCTGAATCTGAAATATTAGTGGATTCATTTCTGGGTAGTACATAAATGTAATAATAGCATAATAATAAACATAATAAGAGCCAATTTGGTGTAGTGGTTAAGGTATTGCCTAGAAACTAAGTTCTAGGCCTCCCTTAAGAACAAAAGCCAACTGAATGATTTTGGCCCAGTCACTCTCTTGTCAGTCCAACCCAATAATGGAAGTGAAAGGGTATGATTGAAAGAGATACAAAGTATCTTTGTCTATCACTCTGCTATTTATGGACAGCAAGTTATCACAAACAATTAAGAATTCTTGAGATGAGATCATCTGACAGGAGCTCAGAATTATGTTATCCAAATGCTACACATATTTTTTATATATATAATTTTATTAAATATTTTTAAGAAGGACGATAAAAGCAAATACAAAATAATGTAAAGAAAAAAAGAAATCAAAGAGAAAGCTTAATGTGCAAGGAATTTGCATGTCTGAGATGTGATGCTGAAGTAATTTCATTGTAAACCAGTAATCATTATTTGGAAGTAATTTCAATGAGAGATAGAATTTGAAAAGAGGGATGATGTCTGTGCTAGCAAGACATAGGTTTCCTAGGGTCTTTGCTCCTATCCCCAGTTATGAGAATCCCACATTGTCTTAATCTATTCAACAGGAGACATCTAAACCTTCTTGTCAAAGATGAGTCACTTCAGCACCACTAAGGAAAAAAATAGTTTAAAAATGGGAAAATAGCTGGAATGGAAATATATATTTTACCTTGAAGACATTTTAACAAGAAACTTCATTTTCTTGCTAAAATATATATCCAAATGGTCAGCCTCTAAACAACAATAGATGATTATGTGGAAAAGGGGAGAAAAAGAAATAATAAGGGAAAGCAACAGTCCACACTTAGTTATATTACTGCATCCAGTTTTGGTCACCATGATGTAAAAAAGATGTTGAGACTCTAGAAAGAGTGCATATTTATTATTATCATCATCATCATGATGATCTCCCATCCTGGAAATGTTTGGGAAGGAAAATTGTAAGGCTTGTGCTGTGATTGCACAATTTTTTAAGAAATCTCCCTGTTCTTATTTTGATTTATGGGCTACTCCATAGTTGTATTGGTTAAAGTTTTGCCATGGAAGGAATGAGAAGCCACTTAGATAGGATGCAGAACTGAGTCAATGCCTGTCTGGGCCATAGGGGGACTTCATCTTATTTGTGGGTGCCTTCAAAGCAAATGAGAAGTAACCATCATGGTAGATATCCAGGGTTTCTGTCACAATTCATTCTATAGTGGGTGGCATGCATATTCTCTGCTTTCTGAAGCAAGATTGCTACATGGAGTACATTAAATATTTTGACTCAATGCTACAAATTGGATATCATTTCCATTGCAAAAGTAGCGTTTTGGAGAAGAAAGCTATCGCATGATCTTTCTGAGTAGAGTCAGCCACTTTTCCCGTAGAATGGGTTTGTGCACGTTCCATCTCACATCGCGCTGAGAATTAAACATTTAAATTTATTATGAAAATTCATTCTCCTTTGTTGTGACACAGTGATCCCAACCCCACCGCTAATCATTGATTGCCAAGAACCTTTTAAAAAGCATTTACTTGGGTTTGTCATAGGCCCTGTTAAGGGATTCCTCTGTTTATTTTTCTTTGTTGTAATGGGTTTATCTGGTTTAAATTCAAAAGCTAAAACTACAGACGAGGCCATGTTATAACTCTCCCCAGACAATAATGGAAAATTATCTATTGCAGGATGCCCATCTCACATCAGATAAAAAGGGTTAGGATTGCAGTTATTCAGAATTCATCCAAATGTTTCACTTAAAATAAATATACAGTTGTCTTTCATTTTTTGACTTACATTCTTCTTTACATTAGGCAATTTATTTTCGACAAGGCCATGAAGCTTATGTTGAAGCAGTAAGAAAGAACAATACTTATGAATTGAATCCTCAGAAAGAACCTTGGAGAAAAATGGTGCTTAGGGTAAGCTTAGTACTGGTTGTTTCTATCAAATACTTATTTTTTTTTAACACATTTCTTTAATAGCAGTATAGAAGAATAAAAGCAAGGGAATACAAGTTAAAAAATAAGGGTAAATGATCGAAACAGAATAAACTAGACAGAAAAAAGTGAAATCCAATAATTATGGCTGTGTGAAAATTACTATGGGTAATCCTTGACTTACGACAGGTCACTTAGCAATGGTTTAAAGTTAAGACAAACCTCCCAAAGATACTTAAGACCCAGTCCCAAAATTATATCTTGTTGCAGCGCCCCTGTGGGTTCTGCAAAGATCTGCAGCATGCTCCCCACCTGTTTTCCCCCCATCCTGCCTCATGGGTTCCCCATACCTCACTGGGCCTGCTTGGTCAGCTCACCCGATTCCACACGCTTCTCCCCCCTCCCCCCGGTCACCGATCACTTACCTTTCAAAGATCTTGAGAGCACAGAAGGTTGGGGTATGGAAGGAGGATAGGGCATTCTGTTGCTGGACCACATGGCAGAATTCCACAAGCAGCCTCTTTCCCTGAGATGCCGGCAAAGGTCTTGATTTTCCTTTATTTGTTAGTCACTAGACTTCCTTCTTCCAGCATTAGCAGTGTATTGCAGCTAATGCTGGTGGAGGGAAGGGTACCACTAGCAAGAAGAAATCCTCTTGGTTTTCCTTTCCTTGCTAGTTACTAGCCTTCCCTCTCCCAACATTAGCAGTGTAAGATATTATATATTTTATATGCAGCCTAAGACAATTCCTCTTCACTCAGTACAGTGCAGACAAGCCAAAAGGTTAGACAATCATGTTTTCATTAGAACTGAATTGTTGGTTTCGTCTCTGAAAAAGCAGAGTCTAGCCCAGTGATAGCAAACCTTTTAGGGACCAAGTGCCCAAACTGCAACCCAAAACCCACTTATGCATCATCGGGTGCCGGGTGGGTGTGGCCCATTGACTGGGTGTGGCCCATTGGGTGGGTGTGGCCCATTGGGTGGGCGTGGCTGAGGTAACGGCAGACTGGGTGGGACTAAAAAGTTCAATCAGTTCCAATTTTGCAAGATCTTTCCCCCCCGCGAGAAGTTGAAATTGAACCTTTTTTTTTTTTTGTACACGGCGGCGGAGGCCTAAAGCGAAAAGGTTTTATAAAATCCAGCTGAAGGCCTAGGACTGGGGCGACGGCTTGCGTGCCCACAGAGAGGGCTCTGAGTGCCGCCTCTGGCACCCGTGCCATAGGTTTGCCACCACTGGTCTAGGCTGTATAAAATTATAAAGTTTTTCAAGACAGTGCACCTTTTCCGAACAGAGAATATAATAAATATTTTATCTAAATGTAGTCTTTCTGCTATTTTTGACAAATTATAATTCTTTGTAACTTTTTAGAAGTTTTAAAAGCAACATTCACAGTTAGCTGATCAAAAGTAACAATTCCATTTCAGTCCTTATTTTCCAGGAAAAAAAATTGCTTGTGATGTTTAAATAAAAATTATTCCAAATTATTATTTCCTTATGGAACAGACTAAGTTTATTTCATGTTTAAGGTGGGAAATTCTCTTGATAAATTTTGGAAATGCTCTGGTTATCCCTGGAGGAGTATATTTTTAGAACTCAAAATACCTTGTGAGAATGGATTTGTGGCATTTAGGTATAAGAAAAATATTGTGGCCAAAATGTCAGCAGTACACACTCTAAAGTCATGAATTGATTGTATAGTAAATCAGTATATAGATGTTAAAGAAGGGAAGTGTAAATGAGGAGTTGCTGGTTTTAAAACCAGAAAGATGATTAAGATGCTATATTTAAGATTCTCTAATAGCTTCAAAAATGGAAAATGAAAAATGTGGGGTTTTGTTAAATCTTAAGAAAACATAGGAATGTTAACCTCCATGTTTAGTGAGCTTACAGTTGGCAGTGAATAAATTAAGGAGGTATATAGCTTTGATCTGCATTTTGGAGACTAAAAGAGGTGGTTATAATAATAAATATAAAATATGCAAGTGCTGAATCTGAATTGGCTTTAAATCTCTGCCTGTAGTGCTTTTAGTTCAAGTATCAACAATAGAAGCTGGAAAGATCAGATACATAAGGACAATTCCGTGACAACAAAGATCAGAATAGTTAAATAGTTGTCTTTTCATTAGTAATAGTTTGCTATGAAACCTGGACATCAAGAAAGAGCAAGAGAAAAAAAGATAAAAACATTTGAAGTACAGAATTAAAAAGAGTTAGGAAGAGTATCAAAAATTGAGAAAAAACCAGTAAGTGAGTCCTGGACCAAATAAAAACTAATTGTCCTGTTCTGTCACAAAGCAGTTATGCTCTGCACATGTGATAAAAGTAGAAGGTGGATTAGAAAAACAAGGTTGAAGAAAAAGAAAGTACAGGTAGTCCACAACTTATAATAGTTCATAACTTCACTTGAAGTTACAACAGTACTGAAAAAAGTGACTTATGACCATTTTTTACATTTACCATTGCAGCATCCCCATGTCACGATTTACATTTGGATGGTAAATATGGTTCATATTTATGATGATTGCAGTGTCCTGGGTCATGTGATCCCCTTTTGTGACTTGACCAACAAAGTCAATGAGGAAGCCAGATTCACTTAAGAGTTGTGTTACTAATTTAACAACTGCAGTGATTCACTTAACAAATGTGGCAAGAAAAGTTGTAAATAGGGAAAAATTCACTTAACAAATTTCTCACTTAGCAACATAAATTCTGGGCTCAATTGTGGTCATAAGTCAAGGATTACCTGTAGAGGAAGACAACAAATAAAGTGGATACAAGAGATCAAAGTGATTACTGAAATGTTTTTGGAAGAGTTATGAGTTCTTATTATCAAGAAGTTGGGATGGTTTCCATTAATCCACAGAGTCACCAAAAGTTGATCCATAACGGTTTTACTCTCATTCCATGTTGCTTTTTTAAGTTTGTAGATTTCTCAAGTATGACTTAAAAAGCAATAAATTAGCTTTTTTCAAAACATGTTTTCTTTAAATGGTTTTCACATTGCATGTCAGATTTTTTTACTTTGTTTAAAAAACATAATATTTTAGTCTATTTTTATTTTTCCATTTATCCCTCTTATAAACCAATATTTATTTCTTAAACTATAATTAATTTTAAATAAACGAACAATACATGGATGGGTTTCTTTTTTGTCCTAGAACCCAACATTCACTTCCCACTCTGAATCCCACATTCGTCATACTGATAAAAGTGAGCATGCATATGTTAGTATGTAAAATGATGCCACCATGAGTCTGTACTTGGAAGAATTAATTATATTTCTGAAGTTTTGATAACCTACCCCAGTTTGAAAATTCTGAGAGGAATAAAATAAATTCAAAAAACCAAGTCAAATTATTCTGGCAAAGATCCTACAGCAGTGATTTTAGCAAGTCGTTGCTGCAGTGAAAAAACAGTATATCTTCTGTGCAAATGTGTGTTAAATTTTACAACTTTAGTAATTGTCTAACATCTCCACAAATTGCATTCCATTTCTTTAAAAAATAAATTAAATAAATTTTCATTTGCACATTTCCCCTGCTAGAAGTTCTGGCTTTCCTGAATAAGGCTCCAGAATAGAATAGAAAACACAAGGCAGTTTGGGCTGCTTTCCAAGCTGGGAATCTAGCTGGAGTAATGCATGTAGTGCTTGCCCAACTCCAGTATGTACTATATGTGTAATCCTCCAGAGTCATTCAAGACTTAAAAAGAGAAACAATTTGTCCGATTAACATGGACAAATCTAGTCACTTGCCAATGCTGGTGAACGCCATATATTGGCGCACAATTCATTCTTTGCACAGTGTCCTAATGTACAATATTTTGTTGTTGCTCATTTTTGCACAATTTATCCTATCATTTACATGCTTTCACATAGAACATGGAGCTCCATTTCCATCTGTCCTGTTTGCCATCGTTCGCTCCCTAGAGACTAAAATGGAAGATCTGTAACTTGAGCTGGCCACGAACAAGGAGTGTATATCGGAGGTGGTGACCCTTTGAGAGCTGTATGCAACGAAATTTCATTTTGATGTATGCCGATTGGTGTACTTTCAAAGTGACAATAAAGTTATTATTATTATTATTATTATTATTATTATTAACATATGGCACTCAAATGTTGCTAAACTACAGCTAGCATTTTTCAGAGTTTCCTCCTCAGGCACGTTGAAAGGAAGTTCAGTGTGATTTGGAATGCCGTAGGTCAGGGGTAGGCAACCTCGGCTCTTTTATGACTCATGGACTTCAACTCCCAGAATTCCCAAGTCAGCTATGCTGACTCGGGAATTCTGGGAGTTGAAGTCCATGAGTCATAAAAGAGCTGAGGTTGCCTACCCCTGCCGTAGGTTATCTATCATATAAAGAACTATAAATAATTTAGCTAATGTTTGTATTAATACTAACAAAAATGTTTGTGAATTTGTTAGGATCAAGAATTGGTAAAAATTGTTGGGATACGTTATGAAGTTGGACCTCCTACACTATGCTGTCTTAAACTTACTCTCATGGATCATGTTACAGGACAGCTTCAAGACAAATCATTTTCTCTCAAGTATGTATCTTTTTCCTTATTCTATTTTTATTATTGTATCCACAGTCTGGTCATTGCGCATTTGACTAAAATTTAATCTTTCTAGATACCACGATATGCCAGATGTTATTGATTTCCTGGTGTTGCGTCAGTTCTATGATGAAGCACGGCAAAGGAACTGGCAACCTTGTAAGTTAGGTTTTGCCCTACTATGGAAATAATCATATTGAAAATCTTACTTAGTTATTTATAGTTTCATTGTATATTCATTTTAAAAATTAAAACTTTTCTGCTAACCAGACAAAGATGTAGTGGGGGTGTTAAAACTGGATTGTTAACCAAATCAAACAACTTGAGCTTTTTTTTTTTTTTTTTTGAGGATACTCCCACTTTATAAAATGCAGGAAATATACTTGAACCTAACAATTTTCTGTAAATAGAAGATACTAAAGTTTGTCAGGCTTCTCACAGGTATATAGTCCAATAATCTAGTCAAATAATTTACAGCTTTAAACCTATCCAATTTTGCTTAATGATTAGTAAATAAATTATGTTGTTATGATTATATTTAAAGCATCAACCTGAAGTACAGTATAGACTGTAACTACAGTGATCATTAGCTATCCTGATTAGGGATGATGGGAACTATTCCAAAAATATCTGAGGACCAAATATGGTGTCTTCCTTAGCACAGTATTTTAGATGTTCTAGAATGACTATAGAAATTGTTACAGAAGAGGTCGGATAACTTTTAGTACAATATATTTGTGGGGATTTTTTTCTTTACAGATGATCGATTTCGTTCAATTATTGATGATGCCTGGTGGTTTGGAACTGTTTTGAGCCAAGAGCCATATCAACCACAATATCCAGATAGCCCTTTTCAGTGTTACATTGTTAAGTACGTACATGTTTGCTTCAGGATGGTCATTTTAATGATAACTTTAAAAACTTTGTGTCCCTTTTAACTGCAAATTATAATTTTTGAAAGCATGTTAGTTTTTATAATGAAAAATGGGGGGGGGGGTTTGCAGGTACCTTTGAATCAGGGTTGTCTCTTGGTGAGTGCTTGGACAAGTTCCTGCAGGGTCTTTTGTGCTGTCTTTTTTTGGACATGGTTTGCCATTGCCTGTTTTCTACGGCTGAGACTGGGCCATGATTACTTAGCTGACCTGTGCCTAAGGCAGGACTAGAACTCACTTCTAGATTCTAGCCTGGTATCACTACACCAAATTGGCTATCTTGGAGCTTTTTTTACTTTTTGCCTAATTGAATTGAAGACAAAAAAAAATAGCATGACCATTCATAAAGCAAAATAAATTTTAGAAAGTTTTGAATATATTTAGAAAGAGAGAAAAAAAGATGGCCAGATAAGATAAACATAGGAGTTCTAGTTTTTGTGGATGGATTATGCAGACGTTTGTAATCTTGGTTTTGATCCTAAACACTTACTAGAAAGTGAGTTTCATAGTTTCATAGAGTCCTGCACATTGGAGTTGGGGACCATTGATAGCAATAGCACTATAGCAATAGCACTTAGATTTATATACCACTTCATAATGCTTTATATCACACTCTGAGCGGTTTACAATGTCAGCATATAGTCCCCAACAATCTGCGTCCTCATTTTGCTGATTTTGGAAGGATGGAAGGCTGAGTCAACCCTAAGCCTGTCAGGATAGAACTCCAGATCATGAGCAGAGTTAGCCTGCAATACTGCGTTCTAACCACTGCATCACCAGGGTTCCTATGAAGAATATAGGTGAGGGGTATGATGTATGCTTATATTAATGAAAATACCTTTAACTCCTTTTATAATTTTATTCCCACAAGAAAATATTCTACCTAGTATATACATATAACATGTAACAGTAGTGCAATTTTACATCTAGAATGTGATATTTTCTACATAGAAATATCTTCACTGTTTTTTTCTAATTTGTTAAATAGATGGGACAATGGTGAAACTGAGCGACTTAGCCCATGGGACATGGAACCAATTCCAGAGAATGGTATATTAATCTAATTTGTTTATAATTTTCCTAGTGGTCACTTTATTCAGTTAGTACTAGCAGTTAAAAACTGCTAGTAGTAGTTAAGTAGCAGTTAGCTACTAAGGAGTTGGCATCATTTAACTTCCAGATACAATTCAGAGTGCTATTGGTTACCTTTAAAACTCTACATCACGGGTGTCAAACTTGCCGCGTCATGTGACATGTCGTGACGTATTGCAACTTTTTTTTGCATTGCCGGAGCTGGGGTGGGCGTGGCCTCCGCATGATGCAATCGGGCGCGGGCTGGCAATTTTACACCCCTGCCCTACATGATGCAGATCATGATGTATCTGTGCCACACTTCTGGAAGTTGAATCTGCTTGTCCAATGAAATCTTAACAAGAGGGCTTTTAGAGGCTCCCACTACTGAGGACATGCCAACTTTAAGAACCCTGGGCTTCAACCTTCTTCGGGGTTCCATTCCCCCCTCCCCCTCACCCCTTAATAACATAAGCTGCCTAAAATCTCTGGTAGTGTAGCACATGTAAATTGTAATAAGCAAACACCAGAATGTCTTTCTAAGCTCAATATATGTATTTGCCATCTATTTTTTAAAAAAAAATTAGCATGTTAATAATATTTTTTCACAGTAGTACCTGCCTTATAGGAATAATTAATTTCATGACCTTGATTGATAAAGCCATTCCCTGTATTCACTGTTTGTTCTTAGAAATGTAAATAAGATAACTGAAGCATATTAATGGCTGTTCTCATTATAGGCGGTAGCAAAACACATACATTCCTTTTGGTGTTGCTTGAATAATACTTTGCTCAGATACACATAACTTTCTTGATCTCAAGTGATGTATTGACAAATTTGAAGCATAAATTGCATTTGGATAAAAGTAACCTTATACATGGTTACTGAATGCATTATAAATAGCTGAGTTTATAAAACATGCTAAGTCATAGAGTAGACCATAATATATTGGGACAAACAACATTCACAGTGACTGAATTAAAACAATATATTGAATGTGATTGGTTTTTACTTCATGCTCTGTGTGTTTCAAAAAGTTGTTCTGATACAAATGTATACTCAAAATCATTCCTTTTGCCCACTTTTCTTTTGATAGAGAAAGTAAATAGGCACTTAAAGCATTTTTTCTAAGAGAACAAAAACAGCTTGTGCAAAAAAAAGGAACAAAAAATAATTTCATAGCAGTTGTTGCGCTATTATATTTTTTAAAAATATACTTAACTTTAAATATTTCCATTTCTAGCTCTGAAGAAATCAGTGTGGAAAATTCTGAAGATAAATATTGAATATTAGAAAGCAAAAAATTGAAATGATTTTACTGGTAAAACATTAACTGTAGGAAAAGAGCAGGCAGGGCTCGGGGAGGGACAGAGTTACAAGCGTCATCAGTTTAGAGTCCTTGTGTTGCCATAAGAAATCCAAGTCCTGGCCCTCTTGATTTCTGTTCTAGTGCCTTTTTCTAGTGCCCATTTAGTACTGATTGTTACTTGACTAGATTCCTTGTGTATAGGTGTCAACTTTTGAAACGAACCTGGCTGAAGCCATCTTTTTCGTTCTAAGTTGCCGCATAGATGGGAAGAAGGGGGAAAGTAGTATTGCTATTTATATTGCTACACAAAACACCGAGCAGTCCTGTGGGAACCAAGCTCATGCCCACAGGTGCTGGAAGGAGGAGCGAAAATGAATTGAGAAGCCCGCCAATTGCTTTGATCTGTAGCATAATAGAGGGGAGGGAAGTATTACTTTTAGTTACATTGAATCTCTAAGGAAATTTCAGAGTTGGTTTCACTTTTGACGTGCTGATATTATGTATCCAATAAACATGTGCTTTGAGGAAACTTCAAGCCTCTAGAAGTTCTGCTTAATGTGGCTTCATTAGTTGGAACCTTGACAATAGGTTTGAATAAATCTTCGATGCTGCAACTTTATGAATGGTCTGATTCTTTGTGCCTGACACTAATTTCTGACATAAAAGTTTGGCATAAAATGAATTGCTAACCTTGCTACATTTTGTTTTTGTTCTCTTTTACATGTTTTTTTAATTAGTTGATCAACCTAAAGAACTGGGAGCAAGTGTTTCTGTTACTGCTGAAGAAATGGCAAAACTACTGTATAAACCTCAAAAGGGAGAATGGCAGGGGAAATCGCAGAGTGAAGAGTGTGAACGAATTATTTGTGGAATTGATCAACTTTTGAGACTTGGTAAGGTTTTAACATTTGATAGCTGTGTTTTGATCAATATAAAGGCATATATAGTGTTTTACACTAAATTCAGTTGCTTGGGTGTTATAAGTAGTACAGGTTTTGTAAAATGAACTTAATTTGCAATTTACTGAATACTGCATTATTTACTGACAATGCATTTAGTTATTTCAACCAGCTAAAATTATTTTTATCTTTATTATTTTTTTATGTTATTATTTTTATAATTATTTTGACAGATATTTCAGCAGCTTTTGCTAGTCCAGTTGATCTGAATACATATCCAAAGTACAGTACAGTAATAGCTTATCCAACCGATCTTTGGACTATTCGGCTGAGACTGATGAATCATTTCTACAGGTTAGTCTAATAGAACTAGCTTCTAAAATTGATCTGAAGTTAAACTTCAGATGATTGATGATCTTTGTGGGGAGATGAACACATATGTGATTTTCAGAGCTTACATTCTTTAAAATATGGTTGCTGTAAAAGAGTAACTTGTGTATTCATAAAATGGTGAAACATGGTATCATAATACCCGATGGCAAACTGGTGAAGTTGTTCCCTCTGTCTCCTCAGGTTGCATTCTATTTGTTTCTTTTTGAAAAACTAGAAAAAGCTTTAGCTTCTCATTATATAAAAAAATTCTAAATTTGAATTTAAATATAAATAAAAAGCCTGATGATTACATTGCATCATACTAGCTTTCTGTTTATTTTAATTTTAAAATAGAATAAAAATAATATAGGAAAAAAAGACACTGGGCAGCAAGTCTGAAAAATTCTGGCATCTATTTCTACTGATGAGCAACAAATGCCCTGCCCATAAACTCTTAGAGGAAAAATTACATCCATAAATTGAAAAATGTCCTCCACGAGATTTTGAAACAAATCGTCTTCCTTGACCAAGATAAAACACTTCAGAATTTTTTTTCACCTTTAACATAACATATAAGCTGTACAGTTCAATTGAAAAATAAACTGAAATCTTATTGGGGGGGGGAAATAACAAAAAATGGACAATAACGTAATTACATAAATGTGCACATCCTTAAACTAATACTTTGTTGAAACATCTTTTGATTTCATGATAGAATTCAGTCTTTTGGGGTAGGAGCCTGTCAGCATGGCACATCTTGTCTTGGAAATCTTTGCCCACTCCTCCTTGCAAAAGTGCTCTAAATCTGTCAGATTGCAAGGGCATCTCCTATGCACAGCCCTCTTCAGGTCACTCCACAGATTTTCAGTTGGATTCAGGTCCAGGCTCCGGCTGGGCCATTCCCAAACGTTGATCTTTTTCTGGTGAAGCCATTCTTTTGTTGATTTGAAGATAAGCTTTGGGTCATTGTCATGTTGAAAGATGAAATTCCTCTTCAGCATTTGAGCAGAGGCCTGAAGATTTTGTGTCAAAATTGACTGATATTTGGAACTGTTCATAATTCCCTCCACCTTGATTAAAGCCACAGTTCCAGCTGAAGAAAAGCAGCCCCTAAACCAGCGGTTCTCAACCTATGGGTCGCGACCCCATTTGGGGTCGATCGACCATTTCACGGGGGTCGCCAAGCAAGACTGTCCGCCATTTTTTCCCCCTTTTCCGGCGGGTGCCTTACCTCCCTTGAGCTGGGCCAGCTGGTGGTCGGCCTGCTCCGTCTCTGCCGCTTGCCAGCTACACCTCGGCCGGCGCAGGGGGCGGAACCACGCATGCGCGGCGCTCCCGGGCAGGGAAAGTCCTCGACTTATGACCGGTTGGGTAGCCCTCGACTTACGACCGGTTTAGTCCTCGACGTACGACCGGTTTAGTCCTCGACTTATGACCGGTTTAGTCCTCGACTTACGACCGGTTGGGGGTTGCGGCATTAAAAAGGTTGAGAACCACTGCCCTAAACATAAAGCCGCTGCCACCCTGCTCCACTATGGGTATGGTACTTTTGGTGATGTGCAGTTTCTGTCATATCCTAAGGACACCTTTACTTTATTGATTAGGATAGGAATAGTAGATTCAGATATTTCATTTCACCTGTTCTTGAAGATAGGTGGGTTATCAATGTCATCTGGCAATTGGGGAAGACTGATATATAAAATTATATCTATGCTGCTATTATTAATTTTGCATTGTATAAGTTTGGAATAAATAAGAGATGAAATAAAAAAAACTTCTGTAATTGCTTAGGAAACTGATGCATGAAACACTAGTTTTGCATGGTACAATTAAACCTTTAGGAAGTACAACACTCTTTTTTCTTTTAATATCATTTATTGTTTTATCATAAAAAATAAAATACAAAACAGAAAAACAAACAACAAAACCAAAAAAGCATACATTCAATCCTAACAACAACAACAAAAAAGAAAAAATAGTGTACAAAAAAAGAGGCCAAAGTAATCAAATAAATTTAACATTTAACATGTAGGATCCAGCCTGGCCGGGTGCTGCAAAAAAAGATAAAGCAGTAAATTTTCCTCCCCTTTTACAAATTATTTTATACTTATCCAGTATAAAAAAGAATGAATTGTTGATTTTTTCCTTAAAGATCCAGTTTTAGAGACTGCAAGTTTAACTGTTTGTTTGCTAAATATTTAGGAGACTTTCTGCATTGATTTGGGAAGTGAGATGTATTGAAAGCAATGCTCGGACCTTCAATGAACCCAATAGCAAAATTGCTAAGACTGCTCAGAAAATCACTGATGAACTCTTAGAATTTATAAGGTAAGCAATATATCCGTTAGAACAGCAAAATATGAGCTTGTTATTTATAGTGATACCAGGTTTATTTGCTATATGTGTCTCTGATGTACAAAATCCAATTAAATCTAGCTTAAAATAATACTATTTACTATACTTATCCATATGTTTCTGAGACCCAGTTTGCTTCCATGTCCACATGGTACCATCATTTCCAGGCTGCATATCCCATTCTTTCTGCATGCCGGTCTCCATGCTACAAAGCCTCATTTTCATTCTCTCAATCGTTCAGATACCTCACTGGCTTGCAAAATAGCAAACATGATTTGGAGAATGAGGCATTGAAGAATCATGAGAACAGGGCTTCTGCTTTTCTAAAAACCAGTGCCCTATTCTTGTGAGGCCTGGGGAAGAGTAGGAGGTTTCTGAGAATGGTAGGCCAACTTCCAGAAAGAACAGGAGGTAGGCTTATAGAAGGAGCATGACATTGGTTTGGAGAATGGTATGAAGCAACCAAGGCCAGTGGTCTGTGGCTTGAGGTAGCATGTTTCAGTGGTAATGGTGGTGCTGGAGCTGAAGTAGAGGCCTAGTACTAGAGGCCTGGTACTGCTAGAGGCCCTGGGCCTCTACTTCAGCCCCAACATTGCCGCCACTGAGTGCTGCTGAGTGCAGGGTAGCTAAAAAACCTTAGTGGTGGGGGAGATAGGCTGGTGGAGGAAGTTGCAGTGCCCCTGCAGTTGTAAACACTGTAGAGCTAGGTGGGCAGCTGAACCTTCTGTGATGTAGCAGCTTTGCAGTCTGAGGCAGCTGAGCCTTCCATATTGCAGCATCCCCTAACTTGCACATGGTCTATTCCAGGCCACCCCTTCCCCTTGAGGCACTTCTGCACTCCTTATTGGATCTCAACTTTATGACCTGTAATTTTCACTTCATAACAGCACCCAGGAGACAGGATTGTGGTTGCTAGCAAAGCAGTCACGTGACATCTCATTTAGTGATTGCTTTGCTTAGTAATTGGGATTCCAGTCCCAACTGTGGTTGTAAATCAAGGACTACCTATACATTTTTGTTACACTTTAAAACACAATTTCTATTTATTTTTAAAAGCCATGAAATGTTAGCATTCAGAAAAACAGATTTCAAACTTACACTGATAGTCAAGAGTCATACCTTTGTGTCTGAAATACACTTCTATTTTTCAGGAATCCAAATTGTCCTAACATTTTTGAGTTGTGTACTGCAACCAATGAAGACAGCATTGCTGCTACTGAATCGGTAATAAAGCTCTCTTTCTGTATATTTTGCAGTTAACTATTCATATTTGTTTCATTGCTATGTTGTTAGGCTTTAGTCTTCCACAATTGAAGAATTAATTTGGATTCAACCAAGTAAACATATTAAGCAAAATGGTGTTTGGTACCTTAATTCAAAATAAATTTATGGTTAATATATCTGGTTCATTTCCTAGGATGATGAGTATAAACCAAGGACATCTTCTAGGAAAGTAAGTTAATTTTATCTATCCATAACTTTTTTCTTTGTGAATGAGTAGTAGTTTTGTATTTTTAAGTGGCTGAATGCAATTCATTTGTTGTAATTGCATTTTTAAAAATCATAAATATTTATGAGTATTTTACCTTTTTTTTTTAAAAGAGACAATCCTTGAAGGGAAAAAATATCACAAAATCACACTATGATGAAAACAGATGGAAGAAACAATGTATGGAACTTGTTAATCTAATTTTCCAGTGTGAGGATTCCGAACCCTTTAGACAGCCTGTTGATCTGGAGCAGTATCCCGTAAGTAATTATTTTTTGATCAGTTACAGTCAGTTACATCAATCATGCCACATTTTAAAGCATTCTCTTATCCATTGTACTTTTTTATTCAAAACAAGAAAAACGTTTGGTTCAGTTAGGAATTTCTGGTGGACAAGTCGGAAGGCACCCTTGTTCAATCATAGTACACCTAAGAGAAAATACAGTATTTTATTTCCTAAGTGGAAAAGTAAACAGAATGCCTACCATTCCATGATGATGGGCAGTTTCTTTTACTCTTTTGAATATGGTTCATAGTACAGCCATAATACAATATCTAATCTCTTCTGCAATTTCTCATGATCTTGCCACTGCCAAAAAGCAAATAAAGTTACAGATGTTTTGATGACAAGTTAGTTGCTAAACCTTGAATCTAGTATTTCCTAAGCACAGAAAGGGTACTTTAAACAAAAAGAATACACTTTTGCCATGCAACAATACTGCCTTTTTCATGTTGTGATCTTCAAAGCTTGTTATAGAAATGGAGATGGACACACTGAGTATTTGCATTCCATGTTTGATTCTGAGTCACAGCACAATCCTAATAAAACGAATATTATCAGCATCAGAATAAAACTTGCTGAAAATAATTTAATTTACAGTTTTCAGCAAGTTAAAAATTATGTAGTGTCTGAAGCATGAATCTCCCCAAATTGTTCTGGAAAAGGAAAACTTTAACACTTTGATGGAAGGCCGTTGGAGATGAAATAAGATAAGCCTTGGTTGGAAGGTAGTTGAAGAATCCATATACAGTTATCAGCTACCCTTTCATAATTTAAATGCATTGATGGGCCTATTAGATATAAAACAGTCCATATATTACATTATATTATTATTGTATTAATGTTGTATTGTATTTCTACTGATACTATACTATACTAATGCTATTTTAATGAATAAGATTCTAAATCATCTGAAATTAAAATGCTTGGAAATTTTTGCAAATATATCCAAGATGCTTTCCCTCACTCCGCTTTCTCTTTTCTTTTTCTCACTTTTTATTCTGCCTTTTCAATCTTCAGAAAGAAACTGCTGTAGTTTTTGTTCCCTTTTTATCATCACAGTTAAGAGGAGAATTACACTTCTAAAAATTGGATTTTTATGGGCTAAGGAAATGTGTTTCTTTAGCATGATACTTATTAAATAGTCTTGTAAAGGAATGATAAAATATAAATTAAGAAAAACAAATTATACCGGATTAGCAAAAATCCACTAGGATTTTAGAGTTTAATAAACTGGTAATATATTTTTATAATACAGTTATTCGAATGCTATTTGAGATAATAGACATGCTAATTTCAGACTTCATTCCAAGCTACATACTCCTATGACTACTAGTTGTGCTTGCTTTTAGTCCTTAAAAATGTGTATTAAAGTTAACTTAGTCTGCACACTTCCTCTCTGTGTCTGTCTTGTCTATCTGTCTACAGGCTTTCACCTGTATATGAGAAACTCCACCCCAGCCTTTTAATAATGGAGGCATTTGGTTATCTTTATTTAGGACTACAGAGAAATTATAGACACACCAATGGACTTAGCCACAGTAAAGGAAACACTGGAAGCTGAAAATTATGATACTCCAGTGGAACTGTGCAAAGATGTCAGACTAATATTTAGCAATGCTAAAGCATATACCCCAAACAAAAGGTCTAAGGTAACATTTCTATACTATTTACTGCAATAACCAAATAAGTATTGTTAGCAGTTAGGCAAAGGTTAGAGGGATAGGAAACAAAAGTCATATTGGAAGATAATTGAAAATGTGAAATCAATCAAAACTCTATTATGAGAACAATTGGTAAATAGTTTTACTTTAAAAACACATAGTTTAAAGGAGAATAAGCATAAGACTTTTGAGAAGTCCTTAATACATGCTCTGAATGTATAAGCAGTTTCTTTCAACTATGTGGCTAAATGTGTTAATTAAAATGTCTTGGATAATATTTTCAAATACTACTTGATTCCAGTATATTCACTTTTCTAAGCTTTCTTAGGCAACATTCATTTGTTATGGTTAAATTGTTGCAGATGTTCATTATAGCCAAATTGAGAAATAGAATGCCCAAATACAAGAGTAGTCTACTGAAGAAGCACTGTACATGTTTGCAGATAGGTGGATAATTTAATATGCCAAAATACAGTCCTAAAATTGGGTTCCGCTTATCTTTGAGTGTATACAGTACTACTTTTTAAAGTAACCATATATCCCATATATACTTGTGGATATGTACATCTGTAAATAAACCAACCTTTGAATTTTTAACCAAAATACAATTAAAAATGTACTACCAGCAGATAAGACACTTCTGAATAATAAAACATACAATAATTTTGAGGGTCAGCTTCTTACAGATGGAACATTGGTAATGATAGTTTGGATAAAAATGTGATGGTTGGTTTTAAATTATTATTCTCCATGCATCAATTTATATGTCAGTATATATGATGATGTGCTCAGTATGGTAATATGCTCAATAGGGTAACCAGAGCTACCATATGCATATTTCCTTTAAAGTACGTCCTATAATTGAATAGGTCATACTTTTGGGTAAATTTGCATAGGATGTTAATTGAATGACTGCAGGAAGAGAAAGTGCAAATTCTATATAAAAGGTATTAGAAAATAAATTACTGTTTCAACAGAATGAATAGCAAGTGGGCATAAGGAAAGAGGAGGTGAAATTGCTTGTAACAGAGTGAAAATAACTATATTACCTTCTATAGAAGTCTGTGAAGTTATGCTAATATAGGATATAAAATGGGTGCTTGGAAAGTAAAAGTGAAAAAGATTATGGATGAAGAAAAGTTTAAAAGATAATTACTGCTGCAAAAAAAACATTGAGGAAGAGAAAATACTCATATTTTAGTATGAATGTAGTCAAAGAGAACGGGAACAGGTTAAGTTAATGAGATAGAAATAAACCAAGCATTTTTGATGGAAATAAATTGTTGAACTAGGTGAAGAGAACTAAAAATAAAAACCTATCAGAATGAATGGAAAAAATAAAAGTGAAAAGAATCAATTTCATTATTTTTCTTATTTCATATATTTAATTTTTATGGCTTACTGTTTTGTTACTCCTTTTCTTTTGTTTGCTATTGTTGTTTAACTGAAAAGGAGTAGTGATAGGTTGTATATTGTTAATTCATACTTTTAAAAATAAAATCATTAATTTATCAGTTGCATAACCTTCATAGTATATTAATTCAGTCTGCATTTCCTAATGTAGATATATAGTATGACACTGAGAATATCTGCACTATTTGAGGAAAAAATTAGAAGAATTATCTCTGACTATAGAACTGGGCAAAAGCACAATGAAAGAAGTGAGAGATCCAGCAGGAAGTTGCAAAGTCTGAATAAATCTGCACAACATTCTGCCAAAATACTGAGGTAAATTTGTCAATGTATATTACTTTTAGAATCATTTTGGTACTAGATGATTTGGTCCTTATTTAAGCAGTATTTATTAATCCCAATAACTGACAGGAGGAAATTCTCATATTCAGTTAGTTTTGATCTCTACAATTCATTTTGAATGTACTTTATCATAAACTATTTCCTGCTTTATAAATATTTTGGGGAAAAATTATAGGCACGGATGCATTAATAATTCGTCTGCAGATATTGGAATGGATACTGAAGGAAAATCAGTCATAACAAATACATATCAAATAGATACCTGGTTGTGATGGTTGCTTACTTCTTCCATGTTTGTTAATTGTTGCTATTTTTTGTTTTCCATAGTGAATATAAGCATAAATGGAGTTGGAAAGGATCTCTGAAATAATTCAATCCAACCTCCTTCCCATTTCAAAATTTGCCAGAATTAAACTGCTGCTTCTTTACTTTTTTCCCCACAGAAATTTTAGTAAACTGTAATTCACCTCAAACAAGTTCCTTAATTAATAACTAATTTCCCTTTTTTATTTGTTAGTCTTTAAACTCTAAAGTTTAAATTTAATTAAACTACAATAATGAATACTTTTAAGAATATTGTGCATTATATTGCATCACTTTAATATGATTTCATTATTAATATCTAATACAGTATATAATTTTCATTGAGGTGTTTTATTTTATTTATTACAAGTAATCTTATCTGTTGTCCAAAGTTTAAGACAACATACATAGCACTTCCCCCTCTAAATTTTCCTTCTTCTCTTTTATTGTTGGTTGTACTGAGAGATCATGAATGATTCAAAATCACCTAGAAAGTTGCATAGAAGAGTAAAGATGTAGAGCCAGTTTGGTCTAGTAGTTAAGGCACCAGGCTTGAATCCAGGAGACTATGAATTCTAGTCCTACCTTAGGCATGAAAGCCAATTGGTGACTGGGCCAGTCACTCTCTCTCAGCCCAACTCATCTAACAGGGCTCTTGTTGTGGGGAAAAATAGGAGGAGGAGAAGTATTAGGTATGTTTGCAACCTTGAATTATTTATAAAAATAATAAAGGTGGGTTATAAATAAATAATGCCTGGGTACCCCCATTCTTATCACAAAGTCTTAACCAGTACATTAATTGTAATTAAATACAAAAGCATTTAGAAAATAAATTGCATTAAATCAACTACATATTGTTTTCATTCTGTATGTTAAGAAACACAAAACAGAAGCAGTGTAAATCTCAAACAGAAATTCAGTCTGAGACAGAAAACTCTTCTAATCAAAATACATCAGGCAAAAAATCCTGTGTCACAAGCCATAAAGTGTATACGACTAGTTGTACTCGTAGTATTGCTGGAATATCTTCTGACTCTACCTCTGCCTCGTATTTTGGATCAAATAAACGGACCAGAAAGACAGCAGTAGCGCAAAGTTGTACATTATCAACAGGTAAATGAACTGAATTAAAACTTGCTTTTAATTCCCTCCCCAGTTTTTATTAACATTGCTTTCTTTGCTTGGCTTTATGATGAGAGTAAGGAATTGGTGGGCCTCTTTCAAAGAGAGTTTTTTTCTTTAAAAAAAATACAGAGAAAAAAAAATCCTTTATGAATTTACATTTTTTAAAGGTGATGACATTACCTAATTTGGTAATGAAACATCTGCAAGAAAACAACTAAGCTCAAAGAGCACCAAGGACATCACTGATTGGAGGCTCTGGGTGACCTTATTGATATCCAAGGGCATGAAAGGACTACGGTGGGTTAGATGTCCCTACAAATGTTTCTGCAAACATCCTTTGGCCTTTTACTTTTCACTTTGGGGCCATAAATATTACAATGGCAACCTCAAGAAAAGCATCAAAAATAGAAGAGTTTAAAAACCAGAGCATCATCAGATATTTTCTTCAATCCTTTAAAAAAAAGTGCTTTAATTATAAGCTTAAAGATTTGTAACAGAAAATTTTGTAAAATATATCTAACAACTTAATAATGAACAAACAACAATCCCATGAAGTTCTGGTCTAATTTTCTAGTTGGCTTTACTATTTTCATAGGTACTTTTGTGAAAGAAAAAAAAATCAGTTTTCTAAAATAATTGTTCCTTTATCTGTTTTAAAAGTGTCTTAAATATCGACTTGTTCAGCTTTTTCTTTTAAGTTAAAATCTTCAAGATAGAGGTTTTTTCTTCTTAATTCTAAAAACTAGGTGACTCAATGAATATCTTCATTTTTTCCCTGCTGGTCAGAAGATCTCTGTTAAGTTGTAAATTTATTAGATCCAAAAGTGGGGTTTTGCAAGTCAAAAGTGTCCATCAAGGCTGCATAATGAGTTTGAGCATGATGGTAATCCTTTGACTCCCAAGCCACTCAACGCACAATTATAAGAAACTCAGTTCCTGTATCTCCTTGCAAGGAGCAATTATCCAGAACGCAAGGGGGGGATCTCTCATTTTCCACAGAAATTTTTTTCTGCCAGAACTCAATGCCTGCCAATGCTGTCCCTGCTTGCAGAAACATTTGTAGGGACATGTAACCAACCGTAGTCCTTCCATAAGCTGGATGCCATAACTTCTTCAGAAGTCATAATATCTTCTTATGTCCGTATGTGAATAATTATCACCAACTTTGGAGAAGTAAAGCTAAAACCTCTAGGATCTCTTGGAATATCCTCCTAGTGCTGGAATTATGCCAGTATCACATGTCAAATAATCATGGAAATGTTTCTCATTTTCCAATGTGACTATAATATATCCATAAAATATAATATTTTGCATTTATTTAGTATCCCATTATCTTTAAATTATGGGAAAATAAACCAATGTTCCAAATAATCAATTTGCTCCAGATCTACCAATTGTTAATAAAATGTAGGGAAAAAATCACCTGTATTGGGGTGTTTTTAAGACTAATAATTTTATTTTTAAAATATTACAGCTTTATCAACATCTTATTCTGCTAAAGTTATAGATACATGTTCTATATTTTACATTGCAGTATTTCTGTTTTGAGTCCTAATGTTATTAGCCCTATGTTTCATATGTAAGTAACTAAAGAGCAAATAAGTTCCACATTTTTCTAAAATGGCTTTGGAGTGAGATCTAGTTAACTTAAGAAACTTTTATAGTTAACATTGACTATTGAAGTTTGAGAGATGTTAACCGTAGGTTTTATAAAGCTCTTTTATGCAGCAATCATTCTTAAACAGTTGGATTTTTGTGTGGTAGAATTTGATGTCTTTTTTTCCTTTCTTATTCTATATCATTTTAAACCTTTTCTGGTGAGCTCCCAAAACTTTACACAGCACACACATAATGTACTGGTAGCTATTCTGTTGCCAGAATACATTGAGTAAGATCTAGCATCCTTTAGAATACAAAACTCTGCAAACGCTGTCTACAACTTCTTGTTATGTTAAAATACATGAGAGAAATCTTTACAATTCTGATTAGCTTTATCTCATTTAACTCTTCCAGAAAGTGAGTTAGAACATTCAACAACTGCTTCATCTTCGAGTAGTTCAGAGGAGAGCAAAGAGAGTTCTACGGCTTTGTCGTCTCCGGTACTACATAATGGAACTTCTGGAGAAAAACAAAGTATCTTCAGGATTACTAGAAGTAAAGTATATCAGCAAAAACAAATAGGTATATATTTATATATATTAAATGTATGTTATGTCTGTAAGTCCCGAGCAACTTAATGACAATCAGAATTGTTAAAAAGTATGATAAACCCAACATGAAAACATTGTTATAAGATTTTATTTATTTGAATTATATGGCTACCAACTCATAAAAGGGAATCTTGGTAGATTGCTATGTTAGATCCCATGGGAGGAAAAAAGCTAATTGAAAAGAAGCAGCCCCACAAATAACCTGCTTGGTGTAGTGAAGACTTAATACCATAGGTAATTACTAGCATCTTGAATTGCACTCAGAGTTCAAGGTGCTATAATTATAGGGAACCACTGTGGTTCATGAAGTAGTGGTTTGACATGTGTACATTGTAGTCCATCTACTTAACACTATTACTAATGTTATTACTACTACTACTAATAATAATAATAATAGTGCTGCATTTTGGATCAGTTGCAGCTTATGGGTGGTTTTCAGGGGCAGCCTTAGGTAGAACATATTACAGTAGCCCAAATGGGAGGTGGTGTACTAAGATAATTTCAAAAATGTTAAGAGATTACATTAAATAATGCAAAAAAGCAAAAATAATGGAATTCCATAATTCCTATTCCAAAAGCCTTCTGAAATATTGTTGTATATCTTTTTTTTTTTTCCAAAATGCCCCGTCTAGGGTATCATGGGGTAATTACATGAAAGTACATCTTAATACAACCTTGTACTTGTGCACATAAAAGCATTTTTATGCCCATGTAAAAACATCATCTGATGTAATGGCACCACCCATTATTGAATGCCCATGTAATATGAGATACGTCTTATTAAAAGAGAATTCCTGATGATAAATTGGACTTCAAACAGTTAGCTAATAAGGTAATTACTTTCAATTGGCACTTGAAAACTAGAGGTCTATTAATAAAACATGTGCACATGCTCATCACACTATTTCTTTTATAGAGTAAGGGCATTATTCTACAAAATACAGAAGACATGCAGACATAAGAAAAGAAATTAAAGGCAGGAAATTACTCAAAAGGCAACCTGTGAAAATTATTCTTTTCCTCCTTTGATTGGTTGTTAGCGTGATTTCATATAGTTTCTTACTCCAATCTGTTGTTCTAGCCTATCTCTGGCCCTTTTAAAGGTATCAATTAGTTCAGCAGTCCCCAACCTTTCTGGCTTGGCGGACTGGCAGGGGGAGAGGGGATAGTTCCGTGTGAGCGGCACGCGCAGGTGCCAGTGCCACACCCGCTGCTTATGCAAATGGAGCTGGGCATCATACTTGCGTGCTGCTTGTGCGGCCTGGTTCCAAACAAGCTGCGGCCCAGGGGTTGGGACCCCTGAATTAGTTGGTGTATAGCTGCCATTGTTTTCATATGCTACTCCCAAGCCCTCAAAATGTGGCAATGAGAAAGCCACTACTTCTTCCTGGAAGGCAAACTTAGGAGTGAGGAGGGACTTTTCTCCAGGTATAAGCCTTAAGACCTGCATTCTGGCTAGAAATGAGATTATTCTTTCTTGCTGGTAATCAGAAATGTATTTCATAGTAAAACCAACTGCTGACCTAGCTTACATTAGTGGTGTTCACTGTACATCTCTTTCTAGCTTTGCAACCCATGCTTACTTTCACCACATCAGTGCATCTCATTCATATTACCCTTTAGTCTTTAAAGCTTTTCACTTCTTTGGGATTTCATCAACTGCCTCTAAGGACAACTTTCTCAGTCTCCTTTTTTCTCTCAGCCCATTCACCCTTCATTTATATAAATGCAAATTGGAAATCTTTATCTGCATGTATTCTGTCAGCAAAATGTAACTATGGAAAATATTCTTCCAAATGGCTTATAAAAGATGAAAGAACACATACCTACATTTACTTAAGGCCAGAACCCCAAAGCTTTGCATAATTTAGAGTTTAGGAATAGACAAAATTATTTTTTAAAATGTTTCTTGTGCGTGTGTATTCATTAATTCGTTTATATGTCCAGCTTCACAAAGAAATGCAGATAGCCAAAGGACTACAAGGAAAAGGATATGGGAAAGAAAAACTGATAATTCAAATGAGCGTTATGAAACTTTGAGCAATAGATTTGGTAGGTATAGAAAAATACCACGTAGAAGTGCTACTGTGGCAGCTAATAAATTAAGAATGATGAGTGATGTGGAAGGAGACTTCTTCAGCTCGGAAAGTGGTGGTACCAGAAGCAAAAATAGAAAGCTACCTCATCGCAATGCTGCTTCTGCAGCCAGAAAGTTATTATTAAATGATTATGGAGAAGAAAGTTCCATTTATTCTGAAAGTGACAAAGAATTGGAAGAACAGTCTGACAGAAAAAAAGCTCCTAAAACTGAATCTTTTGCTGTTAAAAAAAGGCGTAGTAGTGGATCTGAAAGTGGTAATTCACATTCCGAGAGTGGGATGAAAAAAACACCAAAGAGGTACCCTGTTAAAGAGTGTAAAAAACGATTAAGAACTGCTTGTCGTGTATCTCCCAAAATGAAACACAGCCTAGAATGTTCAGAAGATGACTCCAAAAACCATACATCAGATGATGAGAGCATTCAGAAAACAGTTCATCGGTTGTCATCTTCATACAAAATTAATGCCAACAGCAGCTCTGAGACAGATTCCGAGCAAGAATGTAAAGTTTTACCAAGACGTATTTTTACAAGGGCATCATTTCGCTTCAGGAAAGCTAAAATTTTGAGTGATTCAGAAGGAGTGGAGTCAGGAAGGGATGATGAGACTCCTTCTTCAAAGATCAGAATCTTTTCTGAAACTTCAAAACTTGGCCAAAATGACTCATCTAATTTAGAATCTGGAACTGATAGCAGCTACTCAAGAAAAAGTCAGGAAAGGAAAGACATCAGGAAAGGTGATGTATTTTAAACTATATGAAGTGTTAAAATAAAAGGGTGTAATGTTATGCATGCTCCATATTTTTCTTTTAGTGTCATTTAGCACAACAATGTAATCTCAGTCTAAGGATTTATGTGCAATTTAGCCACCTTAATTTATTTTAGGAATACAGCCTTAGTCACATCAAACAAGTATTTTAATGTATTGTTTGAGATGTGCATATTTTTTTAAAAAAATGATAAAGCAGTTACTGGTGCAGGGTTAGGGTTAGCCTAATTCTGACTTTATCCTTCACTTCTTCAACCCATAAACAAGGAAGAGATTGACCCTTTTATATTCCAGTAACTTACTTCCAGCCCAATCCCCTCAGTTACTATTTGCTCTACATGAGTTACACTGACTTTCCCACTGCCTAATTTGAAGGGAGGCTTGAAGGTAACAGCAGAAAAATCAAATGTTTATTGAGCATCACATGTGGGAAAATTGGTGTAATTCAGTGTAGCGCAGGAAGTAATTTGAGGGGATTAAGCTGGAAGAAAGTTACTGGCATTCAGAAGGAAAGCCAAGAAATTGGGCTAACTAGCAATAGGCAGGTTAGAAAATGTATATTTAACATATGCAGGGTACGTGTTATGTTACAAGGGATTGTGTGTGTCTGAGAAAAAAGATTGCTTGAATTAGCTTAGAAAACCAATTCTGCAAGAAAGAACAAGTAATTTGTGTGAGTAGAACTTACTGAAAACAAATACGCCATTAAAAAGTTCAATGGAAGAATTTTAGAGTGGGACATAGAGTGTCCTAGAATTGTAGTATCCAGTATAAGTTGTTCATCGGGGCCAAAGGTTTATTCTTCCAAGCTTTCAGATTTGTGCTGGAGCCCATCTGGAAAAAGAGGAGTTCCCTGAGGATGGGCTCCAGCACGAGCCCGCAAGCTTGGAAGAATAAACCTCTGGTCCCAGTGACCGACTCAGGTCACATATATTTACCTTTATTCGTGTGTCCCAGAATTGGCAGAGGTAAGCTCAAAACTCAATCTCCCTTATATCCATTATTTTTTCCCCAGACTTCAATAGTTTTTCTTCCTATGAATGTCATTGGCAGCCATGTTTTGATGCTGCAATGAGCATTTCTTCAAATTACAGTGCTCAAAACCATAACCTTAAATGACTATCTACTAAATCTAGTATTTAATGCTTTGACATATTGAAATGTCATCATATATCTTGTTAGTTTTTGCAGTCAGATCATGAAACTTTCTGAAGCTGATAATGATGAGTAAATTTTGCCTTAGCTGTAAGGATGTTTACTTACCTTTATTATCTTCAACTGGGTTATTTATTTAAACTGTGTTTATTTCAACAGTTTTTGTGAGATTTTAATGCTTTTATATTGTGCAATTTTAACGTAATTATTCTGTGTGCCTTTATAGACTCTGTTGTCAAAGCAAATGGGCTCAACAAATCTACCAGAAAAAGACCATACCAAAGTGATTGTCAGATAGGAGTTGGTAAAACAGAATACATCTATCGAAAATTGCCCCTTAGAAGCGGTACTGTGACTGTTAATAAATTAAGTCTTGTGAGTGATGAGGAAGACTTCGCCAATTCAAAAAGTACTAGAACCGGCAGTACCAACAATAGAAAACTGAACTATCATGGTATTGTTTCTACAACTAGAAAGCAATTAAATAGCTCAGCAGATGGAAGCCAACAGTCTGGTGAAGCAAAAAGGAAACAGTACTGTAGAAGAAAATGTATTCAGTCTTCCACAGCTGCCAGGATATATGGTAGTGACTCTGAAAACAGTTCATATTCTGAAGGTGCTGAAAGAAAAATATTGCATATTAAAAAAGCCCATAGGCACAAGCCTAGAACTGCATGTGATAAAAGTTTAAATGTCATTCTAGAGAAAAATCTGAAAAGCCAACTCTCAAACGATAGAGGTCCTGATAAACATTCTGTATTTGCACATAATACTATAGTCACTTCTGAATCTGAGGCAGATTCTGAATTAGATCAATGCAGTGACAATATTAAACAGAAGCACATGTTTCAGAAGACCGTAGACTCTTCAGGAAAATCTAAAAATGAATCTGAAATACAGCATAAAGGATATGGAACCGATTCTCTGCCAAATAGCAAGGAATCTTCAAAAAACCCAAAATCTAAAGCCAGAGTAGATTCCAGTTGCCCTTCTGATTTGGAAATCGAATCTTATTCCAATGCTAGCAACTGCAGCGATGTCACAACACAATCCAAGAAAAAGAAAGAAAAATCAGATGACATTAAGAAAGGTAATTTTTATAATACTGATAATATCCTTTCTTTGATAATCAAAGGATTAAATCAGAGGTCAGCAACCTTTCTTGTTTGGGGGACCGGAGGGAAAGGGGGGGAAGCATTTTACATGCATTCGTGCGTGTTCGCAGGGCCATGAGCATGCGCGCGACACGGTAGGGCTAGCGTGATACTAACCTGCCCCATTCTTGTGTGGCGGCACCCCATTTTCGCACCCTGAGGCTCGGCGGCATCCTGTTTTCATACCCCGAAGCACGGCAGTGGCCCGTTTTCACAGGGACTCCATACCACGGGGTCCAGCCCTTGGGGGACCTAATCTAATACATTTCAATAGAAACAATGCAACACATTTAATATTACATCTATAAAATATATTTTATTCATATTATAAGGAATGTAATTCTTAACTTAAGTTCCCTACATATTAAATAAACAAAAAACTTTTGTGTTAAAATAGATGTTTAATCTTTTGACAAGAGTGTGTTGGACGCAGATTTCTTGATATTTTACAATATCCTTTTTTGTCTAGAAATTATTAAATATTGTTTAGTATGTAACTGTTTTCCTATAGATAGTTAATATTCTTTAAATTTTTACTTTTTCTTCAATATGTTACTGCTTTTGTATGTTGGGGTTTGTGCTTCTTTTAATTTTTGTCTTTTAAAACTTATTTAAATTTATTGGCTGCCCAACTCCAGTGGACTTATAGATAGTCCTCGACTTATGATTACAAATTGAACCCAAAATTTCCATTGCTAAGCAAAACAGTTATTGAGCTTTGCCCCATTTTATAATTGGGTTAAGTTACTAATACAATTACTAAGTGAATCTGGCTTTCCCATTGACTTTGCTTGTCAAAAGGTTGCAAAAGGTGGTCAAATGACCCTGGGACACTGAAACTATCATAAATACATGTCAGTTGCCAAGTGTCCGAATTTTGAGCACATGACTGTGGGAATGCTACAACAGTCATTAGAGTGAAAAATGGTCATAAGTGATTTTTTTGAGTGCCATTGCATTTCAAACAATTACTAAATGAATGGTTGTAAGTCAGGGATTACCTATATTTATTTAAAATAAATGAACATTTGCAAAAAAATAAGAGTTTATTAAAAAAGAGTTAAGGTTTGTACAATACAAAATGCACATATGATTTTCATATACAAAGCTATGAAATAGGAAGAGCAAGAAATTGCAAACTACCCTGAGGATTTTTTTTTAAAAAAAATGTTTCTTATATTAAGGTTACTGAAGTTCCCAAAAATCACTTAGAATATTAGCACCAAAAATATCTAAATGATAGTTGAATTTTAGAACTTCATTGTAGTTTTCAGTATAGTGTAGCATGTTTTCACAGTGAAGGGAGAAGCCAAGCTAATCTGTTAGGCAGAGTACACAAGCAAGTGTTCATGAACAGTAAATCAAAATGTATAACAATCTGGACTAATTATGATCAAATTATTGTATCATTTGTTTTAACTTGTTTTATAAATCCTACTCGGTCTCCAGGAGACTTAGATCCCCCGGCCCGGGACTATCGGCTGTTGTTATGTAACGCCAGGTCCGTGGTAAATAAGGCCCCCCTCATACAAGACCTTATTCTAGAGGGGGATGCGGACCTGGCGGGTATTACTGAGACCTGGTTGGGCGTCGAGGGAGGAGTCCCTCTTGTAGACATCTGCCCACCAGGT